AATGATCGCTTAGATTAAAACATTACAGCTTTACATTCTATGTAGAAATTGCAATTTATTTAATGAACGCTTGGATTAAAACATTACAGCTTAGGGGCCTCTACGAAATAGTTTTTAAAACACCTTAGAAAGCTCATCTAGATTCCCTTTATGTAAGTTTTCCTGGATGTATTTTCCAAGTGTATCTGTGCCGAGTTAAAGCCCATGGACGTGCCATGGAATTAGCGCGTCAGAACATCAATGGAAAAAGCGCGCCGGCAATTGAAATTTAATTGAAGCCACGGCGACATTAATTGCCGGCTGCTTTTCTTCCCCCATTTTTTTCCTCAAGGAAAGACCTCGAGTTCGCCTTCGATTGGGAGTTCGTGGTTGTTTATCTGCTGGACCCTAGGAAGATAAAACCGTTGGAAAACCCTTTCAGCTGTCACTCGGCTGGTCGCTTGCATTATATAATCAGGCAAAGCTCGGAACGGGTTTGGCCGCATCCGTTGTCAGCTTCATTAAGCTTTTTCGACCAGGCGAAGCTCCTCCACTGTGGAAACTGTGGCCAAAAAGCCACAGTCTCAGCCTCTCAGCCTCGACCATAAATACGCTCCGCATCTGGCCGTACTGTATAGTATGTTAAGCCAAGTTAAACGGCAATTTATGCGCTGCCAGCGAAAATACCGTGACAATTTGCAATCAGCAACAGTCGGAGCTGGACCCAAACTCACGGGCCAAGCTCTTGGCCATCTGAGAGCTGGCTCAGCTCAGTCCGGCTCAGACTTTATGTTATAATTTAGCCAGAGTTGAGCTTTATTGCCTGAGCGCCACATAGCGGAAATTCAAATGCACACGAAATATGTCGAGAGCAGCGGCCTGACAGTGGTCAACTTTGAGTTAGCTCTTACATATTTTCATTAAATTAAGAGCTTAAGGCATTTATGTCTCATGCTGTCGATCAAGTATAAAATAATGGGAAAGCACAAGCATTTAATTTCTTATTCAATTATGCTTTAGCTCTAATATTTTGTGACCACAGTGCAGCTCCGCTCCTTTTGTTATTCGCTGGTTTTTGGTTTTGCGCTTCTAATCCGAACTGCACATGCTTTTGGCATATGTTTTGCCAATCTATTTTGGCCAACTATGCGCAGCTGCAGCATAAAGGCTCCCTGGCGATCGTATCGCTCAACTAGAAAACTCAACCCCAAAAAAATGGCAACAAAAAATAATAATAAAATCGGCGCAGGCTCTTGCGAAATATTTAAGTTAAGGCTCAATCGGGCACATAAAGGTAACACACCCAGACTGGCTGGCATCGTATAGTAAATTGAATAGAATTAGCCGTGCACATAAATCACAATCACATTTAATTGCCCGGCAGAAAGAGGTGATCAAGTTGTAGTCCCCAATTCGGCATGGGAAGCAGCGGGACTTAGCATAAGAATGGATATTCATATAGGAAGGCCTCTGTAAGGCACCTGCTATTTTATGCAAAACCTTTCAGCTTCTTTACAAGTTTTTAATGGCCCTAAATGAATTCAATAAAACCCCACCATAAATCCCATTGTGGCTTTATGCTACTCCATATAACATAGCCTCTAGCTGAATTTCCCAGGCCTCACAAGACTCATTTTTCACTTAAGCTCTTGCAGTTTTGTCATTCCTAAGCAGATAATTGCTTGCAAAATAAAGAAAAAATAAAGAGAAAAACAAAAACTGACAGAGAAACAGTCAGAGAACGGGGCAAACAAGTTGGCCTTCCTGTACTAATTGCCCACGTCACTTGGCTTAATAGTTAAACAGCTTAAATGCGGCGGGGCGAACACTTTTGGTTTATGGCCTGACCCCTTGCAGCCATATAAATCACCATTCATTCCATTGCGAGCTCCCCTTAATGATCCTGCCCAAACCGAGCTCAAGTTCTGAGCTGACTTCCAGCTGCGTTTCGATTTTATTCCATGGTTTAAAGACACTCAGGACAGGAGTGCAGCCAGCTATGGTTTTTGCTAATTTTTAAATATTAAAATATGAAACCATTGAAGTTTGCCATCAAGTCAGAAATCTATCATAACTAAGCTTAAAATATTCGCATTTTTTTATACTATATTTGTATATGACAATTTAGTCCATAAATCACAATTTCAAAATCTCCTAACTCAGCCAAAAATGAATTATTTTGAATTCAAAAATCGTTCCTATGTTATGCATACTCAATTAAAAATATAAATAAATTGATTTTTTTTCCAATTTTAACGATGTAACCCCTTATAAAATTTTGAAAATTATGAAAAAATTGTGAAAATTTATATTTCGTCCGTATTTGATTCAGCTGTTCATTCTGATCAAAAATATATATGATTTATAGGGTCGGAAATGACTCCTTTACAAGTTACATTCTTCTGACTAAATTATAATACGATATAATGTAAAATAATAGTTTAATACATTCATATGACAATATTTCAGAAAAATGAACTTTTAAATAATCCATAAGTCAACCAAAAATGCATTAATTTCCATTCGGAAAACTTTCCCATATTAGTTTTTATTAGATTAACAAATCTGCATATTCAATTTTAAATATAATAAAATTGAATTTTTTGTAAATTTTAACGATGTAACCCTTATAAAATTTTGAAAATTTCGAAAAAATTTCCATAAATTATATTTTGTACGGACATGGCTATATTGATTCAGCTGTTGATGCTGATCACGAATATATATGATTTTTAGGGTCGAAAATGATTTCTTTACTTGTTTACAAGCTTCTAATTGAAATTATTATACCCTGCAAGTGAATTAAAATAGGAAATAAGAAATAAATATTTTATGTAAAATACAAAATTAAGGAAGTAATACATTTTGTTCCTCGAAAATGCACACAGCTCTGCCTTAGAAAATAAGACAAAAACCGTCATCACTGGCTCGCCTTGGTGTAGGAATTTATTTTGAATAATCACTCGAGACATTAGCTGCAGTGTCCTGCGGGGAAAATCCATCAAGCTGGTGTGCCGCAACATCGACTCCGATTCCGATTCCTTTTCCGACTCCCCTGAAACTCATTGGCCATGGCGTGACTGGCAGCGCAAGTGTCTAATTGTGTTTGGGTTTCCATTTTCCATTTTCCATTTTGTTAGCGGGCCAGCCACAATCAGAGCGTGTTGCATAATACAATGGCCAAATGCTGTACGAATCAGTAAGATTTTTGTACTTTTTGTGATTATTTTTTTTGTATTTGTATTTTTAAAGCAGCAGACTGCTATTTTAACAAGCCGCCGCACATTCGAAACGATAGTGAAACGAGCATGCAAAAACTATTTTAATTGACTGCCGTCGCACTGCAGTTGGCGAGAAAACAGAAACGGGCGGGAAAAAAAATGCAAAAATCCATGCAAAACAATCGCCTTTTGGCGTAGCGACAAATTGTCATGGGAGTTGCTAGAGTCGCAGTTTCCAGCTCTCCGAGCTCCAAGCTCCCAGCTCCAAGCTCCAAGCTCCCAGCTGCAGGCTCCCAGCTCCGATCTCTCATGTGACCCTCGCGGCGCATTGAACTCCCCGATCGGTGCGGCGGAGATCCGTCGCAGGCCTTTCATTGTCTCCAATCTGGGATTAAAGTGGCCGGCGGCGCATTGAGATGCAATAAATTGCTGATGGCATGCAAAGTGGATGTTCTAGTTGAAAGCCATAGAAAGTGGCACACTGGCCAACATGTTTTTGGCACTGTCAGCGCTTCCAACATCGTCCAACATTCAACTGGGTCACCTGGCTGCATTTCACCTGATGCACAGTAGCCGCCTCCTCCGAGCTCAATCGAGCGCGAAATTAATTGCTTCAATGACTGAACAAAATTTCATATCATATTTTTGTGTTTTTGGGGTCGCCAAAGGGTGGACTGTGGCTGCTGCCGGTGCTGCTGATGCTTTTTTGAAAGTAAATATAAATCAAAGGCCTTTCGCCTTGGACAGGCTCTCTTTGCAGTGGAATACCCCAAGGGCCGGTGAAACGTGAGCCGTGTTGGACCACAAAAGGCGGCGTCTGGGCGATTGTCATGACATGACTTACTTAAGTTTGGCGGGGCTTATCTAGCGCCTACACTCGGAGAAAAACCCATGATTTGTTTCCATTCTTGGTGAAAAATCTGTTAAAGATAAATTATAAAGGAAAGAATTATATAGGCTTTTTAGATTTCTATATTCTTCTCACAGAAAACAAGTTCGTGTCCTAAGTCTTTTGATTTCCAGCTTGTTTTTCATATTATTTATTTGAAAAAATAAATGTAATCTTTTGAAAATTTAATTAGATATGTAAAATAATCAAATCCCAATGATTATGTAAAAAAATCAAATACCTGACAGTCTTTTCTTATACAAAATCCACAAATATCCGCATTGCTTGAGAAAAAATCATCAAATACATAAAGGAACTGAAACCGCCGAATATTTCCAAGAATTTTTTGAGGTTTACGAGGCCATTGTGTAACTTTAAGTGTATCAACTCTGTTCTGGGCAACTGCCTTGCCGTTCCCTAACGTTCTGTGGCTCTGAAGCTGGAGCACAAATTCAATTATCACGACGGAGCGACAGCGGACCAAGTCGAGCTGGCCAATAAATTATCTTAGAGCCAAATGCCTTTGACAGTGCGCTGTAAGCCGAGAGCTGAAAGCCGAGAACTGACCCAAAACGTGCAGAACTTTGGCAGCTGTGTTGGCCCAAAGTTCTTTGGGCAATCTCCGGGTCCAGAGCGCTGCCTTTTGCCTTTTTGCAATTAATTGCCACCACTCGTCGTACAGCTTGGACCCGGGCTCTTTGGCTTCCCATTTAAAATTAATTTGAATTTTCCTCTTTGGCTGCTGTTTTCACTGTTTGTCCAATGAGTTGGCATTAATTTGCGAGACCATGTTTTTTTTGTGTCTGGTGCGTTAGCCAAAGCTGTTCCCAGGGTCCAGAAATCGGGTCAAAGTTATTAACCGAAAAGCTCTACATTAGTTTAACGCTTTTCGCATTTCGTATTCATTGCAGGTCAGCACACAGGAACCGCCAGCGGCGCCGGGTGAGTTTGCTCCCCATGTCACCGCCACTTGCAAGGCGGGCACGATGAACATCAAGGTCAAGATGAGCTCCGGCTACACGGGCGCCGTCCATGTCCGGGACTACCGCACGCCCGGCTGCATGGCCATGGGCGATGGCAGCGACTCGGTGGCCTTCAGTCTGAATCTCTGGGCCAAGCAGGGAGCCAGTGACTACTGCGGCATCCTGGTCAGCAACGTGAGTGGAAGCAATGTAAGCATAACCCCAGCGCTTTTCTAATCGAATTAATAAATTAACCCTGACATAAACTTGACGTTGAATGATAGAGAAAATATGGGAATATAGAAGGAGCCTAGTCTGGCAATTAAAACAAGTTGAATTTTGTGGGATTTAAATGTTATACTATTTGATTGAGAACACTTTTCATCAGCACTATAAAATAGTCTCAAATAAGATAATCATTATGTATTTCCATGAGAGACTACACTCAAGCCAAACAATGTGCACAACAAATTTGCTATAATGCTAGAACATTGAGAAAATTACTGCCAAGAGTACGAAAATTTTGGCATTTAATTGAGTGCGAAATTATAAAGGAGACTTGAAGCACACTAATCCAACTTTATCCGGTCTTGCCACCCAGTTACTCACGCAGCCAGCAAGTTTGTGTCTTAAGTCTTTCGTTTACCGCCGACCGCCGACCGCTTGACAAATGGCAAATTAATTTTGTCAGCCAGGCGACTTTAGTTTGCAAATTACCACCAAAATTTCAGGCAGTCAACTAGAGAGAGAGAGAGATGAAAAAAAGCCACCAGCTGTGAACTATGAGGCAATCGCAGGCAGCTGGAAAACTGCCGACCCGAGACAGGGGCCACAGAACAGAGACTGGAAACTGCACACAACTGACTGAAGAGAGACCTGAGTCTGAGACCTTGTCTGGCTAAAAAGGGCACGCATGCGCATAAATTTTGAGCCCGCCTATCGGCCATGTACTTGAGTCTTGGCCCCAAATCAACGCAAATCAGCAAAAGGCCAGGGGAAACGATGGACTGACTGGTCGGTCGCTAGCTCGTCTATATAGTAACGATGGCAATAAAAATCAAGTTTAATCCTACGTGCATCACAGGCGTTGACAGGCAGCGACTGCAATTCCGTGTGGGTCTGGCTCTTACTCTGATCCGGCTTTGGCTTTTCCACACGCACTCGCAACAAAGCCAGACAAAAGGCAAATCGCATTAGCCATAGTCATAGTCCAAGCCAGAATCGGACTCATCCCATCCCAGTCCCAGTCCCAGTGCGTGGAAATGCAAATTATCCAGAGGGCTGGACGCCAGATGCTTATAAGTACAGGCACATACAACATTATTAATTGCAATGTCAAATCCCACCGACCGCACCCTGTATTCCAATTTTTACCTTTTGCCCTGCCTTGGCACTTTTTCGCTCTCTCTCCCCAGAAAACTGGAGCCCAGCTTCAGGGCCTGAACTTCCTCTTGCAAAATAAAAAAAAGGGGAGGTCCCCCATAAAATTAAATCACGCTTATCGCAACTGAGGCTGGGATTTTATTTTTATATGAACACAAACACGCATATAGCTAGCTGTTTATATGTAAGTTTGTACAGTAAAAGGTCGGCAGATTCAACTTTTACAAAGGGATAATATATATTAATGATTATAGAGATATACAACCTTGTTATAAATAGTATTTAGAGATTTTCTAGTGATTTTTCTAGATTTTTTAGTGTAGGTTATATTTAGTTTATTATACCTTTGCTGGGTAATAAAGTTTTGGTTTGAAGTTTTTTATGCCGTGAAATAATCATTTCCGACCCTATAAATCATATATATTCTTGATCAACATCAAAAGCAGAATCGATCTAAGCATGTCCGGTAAAAATATAAATTTTTCAAAATTTTTCGAAATTTCATAATTCATCATTACATCATTAAAATTGTCAAAAATTGACGAAAATTTGAATTTTTTAAAATATGAAATTCAGTATGCAGATTTATTAAACTAATAAAAACTAGAATAGGAACGCTTTCCGAATTAAAATTAATGCTGTTTTGACAAAGTTATGAGATTGTTAAATTTGATATTAAGAAAAAAATTGTCATTTAAAAATATAGATAAATATTGATTCAAAGAATGCAAATATTTTAAGCTTAGTTATGATCGATTTCTCATACGATCCTAAAAAGCAATTGCAAACTGCAAGGATATATGAACTTTGGCTTCCCGATGTTATTTTCCTTTCTGGTTTTTTATATTTTTTTTCTCGAGGTTCCTAGGAATAATCAGATCCTTTCTGCCATCTTTTACTGTACCTTAATGTTTGTTGGCTTTTGTGACTGGGAGTGCCTTGGCAGCTCGCGCCGGCGTCTAGCTTCAACTTCAGACTGCTGATTTCACATGCCCAGACACGGCTTTCCACGCTTCGGCTTTGACAGCATTCCAAGCCGTTGTCGAGGCTGTGATGTGGCTTAAATCCGAGTGGGCCATTGTTGCGGCTAGTGCGTGGAATTTGTGTCAAAAGAATGTTTTTGTGCGGCGGCAATTTCGATTCTATTTCTTCGCTTGGCGAATATTTTGCGAGCGGCTTTAATTGCTCGCCAAATGCCTTTTGGGCCAGCGACATTGCTGCTGTTGGTGATGCTGCTGATGTTGCTCTGACCTTGGCTAGATGAATGCAGACTGCAGTCTGCCGTCTTGGCCACTTTCGCCCTTGTTGAACCCACCACTCTGGCCAAAACAAAGCACGGCCTGGCTGCTAGCTGGCAGAGCATGAAATTGGCGCTGACAATGGCCAAGACGCCCAGCTATTTTTACATAAAGTTCAAGACGCTTTGCGGCTGCTGGCGTACTTGAACTTATTTCTTATTACCAGCACCATTATTGTTATTACTTTGAGTGGGTTTTGCTTTGGCTGCCATAATCTGGCTTTGCTTTGGTTCTTTGCCCCAGCACCATTATATATATTTAAATGTTAATTGCAAATGCAATGGTCGGAGATAGAAATAGAGATGTAGGCAGAGAGGACCCAAGGCAATTTGCCATCAGGCAATTTCAACACATTTTAGCCAGGTAATGGGAGTTACTTTTATGTAGGTTTACACTGAGGAAACATGAGTCTTTGAAGAAATAAATTTACAAATGTATTCAGTAATGTATGTTCTATTTGTCTAGGAATACAATTTATGCTTTAAGGTGGGTATATTTTAACTTTATTGATTACTTTCCACGAACATCTTTACAATTTATGAGAATAGACTTTGGCCTAAAGCAAAGATTAAATTATATTTAAGCTACTATAGAAATATTCTCAGTTAAAAGGGCATATTCTAGAAACTAAGATCTGAAACTAAGAACTTAGTTTTCCTCTGTGTGCATGGGGGAAATCAACTTTGCCATTTTCTTGGCTTTTGATAATAAGTTGATAATGAGCTCATCCGCTGCGGCATGCAACTGCGTGATGCATGAGTTGGCCAGCAGATTGTGACATCATTGCTGTTGGCCAATAGTCCGGCGATTCCATCCATTGGATGCGAGGTATTTATAACTGCTGCGATATGTTTGTGTTTATTTGCTAACCGCTTCAACTAAGCCCCTGACCAGACACTAATCAAGCAGACCCATTGATCGGCAATGCTGGCCACATTTAATACCGCAAACATGTGGAGGCGTGGACCATTAAACCAATAACAGCGAGATAAAATAATAAAATGAAAAATATATTCACACATTTATATATATATTTATATACCTCTAACTATTGACACAGCAGAGCTAACTGGTTTGACTGGCAGCTGGTGGAAAATGTAAGCAATGTAAGCCACACACTCAGAAGTGACAAAGAAACTTGTACTTTTTGTACATCTTTTATGGAAAGCTGTTCGATGGCAATTGCGATTTGCGGGTCAAGGCCAATCGATATATAATATAGGAACGATCAGCAGTCAGTATTACAAAATACTTTAGTCTTTTGCTTAGGTAAACACAGTTAGATAATCGCAATTACCGCTGGAAAAATCTTGGCCAGCGAAGCGCAGAGATTCTTGGAACCGCCTTCCTCCATCTGCAGTCACATACCGCTGCACAATCCACTATCCACAATCCGCAGCTGCATCTTGCAGATGATATTCAAAATGAGCTTAAAATAATTACCGAAAACCATGATAGCCATAATGGCCTGAGCATAATCAAGCAGCCGGAGCAGCAGAAGGAAGGAAAAACAAATAGAGGGAAAAGCGAGGAAAACCGAGGAAAAGCCAAGAGCCAAGGAGCTGGAGAAGGAGAAAATAAACAACTTGAAAATGCGTCACACTTGGCGGCATTTTGCATTTCCTCGTTGTGCGATTGCATCATGTGACAATTAACATGCCACAAGTGCAAGTTGCAGCCATGGTCGCGAGGCAGCCACTTACACTTAAGGGAATTTTTTGCATTAACAATTATGTTTGCAGGCAGAAAATGTAGTAAATTTCTATAAAAATATATCTCTAAAACAATTTAATGCTTCTGAGAAAAGTAAGAAATTATAGAGAAGGAATAAGTAGTTAAACTTAATGTCTCAACATATTTCTGTATACCTTTTTCTATCAATAAATATATATTTAGGGTATTTACCTCCAGTAGAAATAAATTTATCACATACTTCAAAGATTTTCTTCAAGTGCTTTGGCTTCACTTAAGTAATTTCATGGTAAATTATATTCTGAGCTTGTCAGAATTAATTGACTTAACTTCTACAGAATGTATTTATTTATTTTGCAATCTGAAATGCAGTTACAAGATAGTAATCAGATTTTTTTAAAAGTTGAAATTCAAATTATTATATTAAATTACCTAAGTAGAACAGTTTTTCTCCCAGTGCCAACAGTCGGCCTCGATCCTTTGCTCCTGTTTTATGGTCAATGCCTGAGCTGGCCTGAGCATAAATTGGAACCTAACTTGGGCTTTTCCAACCAATCAACATTAACGTCATGGGCATAAACTTTTAATAACCGGCAATTAAACGGTGATCTCCCCCTAAAAAAACAAACCGCATCTCTCAACCCTTTCTCCCCCTTTTGATTTCCATCCCCCGCAGCGAACCGAGGAGCGTTCCATTCAGCTGGCCGTGCGTGTGCACAAGACTCTGGAGCTGGCGGACGATAAGTTTTATGTGATTACCTGTGGCAAATCGGGCTTTGCGCGGTAAGTTTCTTACACTTTACGAAATATTTACCAAGAATTTAAATCGTTTTAATTTTAAGTACTGTTAAAATCAAAAGAATCGGATAGCATCGCCTTGAAAATATTTAACTAACAACTTAAAATATCTAGTAGACAAATAAAAAAAACCTCTAATAAGATCAGACATTTTAAATGAACGAAGTGACTATTTTAAATATCAAATTGGAGTTAGAAAGGATCCGAAATAAAGCGTAAATCGATCATAACTAAGCTTATATTAAAAACGTCTTAAAAGACTTGACGTTTTAAAAGAAAGAAGTGACTATTTTATGTATAGAATTGGAGTTAAACAGAATCTGAAATAAAGCGTAAAACGATCATAACTTATGTAATAATATTGGAATTCTTTGAATTGATATTCATCAATATTTTTATATGACAATTTTAACGAAATGTCAAAAATTAAAATACTCATAACTAAGCCAAAAATGCATTAATTTCAATTCGGAAAGCTTTTCTGTGCTAGTTTTTATAAGGCTAATAAAACAGCATATAAAGTTTTAAAATTTAAGAAATTCAATTTTTGGTCAATTTTTGACAGTTTTAATGATGTAACCCCTTAGAAAATTTTAAAAATTCCGAAAAAATTTCAAAAAATTTTGTTCCACCGGATATGCCTAAATCGATTCGGCTTTCGATGCTGATCAAGAATATACATGATTTATGGGGTCGGAAATGACTACTTCACTGTTTTGAAAGCTTCTGACTGAAATTAGAATACGCTGCAAGGGTTTGCTCCCATTTTTTCTTCCTGTGCAATGCGAATCCAAATCCAAATGCGACTGCGACTGCGGATGCTTAGCCTGTCTAGACAATTGCACTTAAGTTCTTCTTAAGTTTCGACGGTAATTTTTTGGTCAGGCTTCCGTCAGTCCAAAGTGCTTTGCCAATTTTAGGTGCCGGCCGAGAACAAATGGATCCGCAGAGCAAATTGTGCTGACCAGCGATGGTTTTATGGATGCACGTAGGTGTTGCTCTGCCATTGTTCGCGTTTCGCTCCATCAAGGCCATTGAGCTCTTGGCCACAATTCGATTCTTTCACTCAATCACCTCATTTGTGCGGGCAAATCAGCACGAAGAATAAAAGCTACTACACCCAAAGTAGGAAATTCCCGAAAAAATCAAAAGAGAGTAGAATAATCAACACAATTTTTTTAGTGCTCACTTGGCAGCAGTTCAATTAACGGTAAACGTCTGGAGAGGGCCCCGATAATCATCTTGAGGTGAACGAAAAACAATTTAATTTACCTTCTCGCCTAGCGGCTCATTTGCATAATGCCAATGACTCCGCTCAACTCACCAACTTGCGACTTACGCAAGTATTTCCCAAAGAAAGAGGCGCCAATATGTATAAAAAAATAAAAATAAAACAAAAAACCAACCTCGGTTGGGAGATGGGAAATAAAAATGGCATTAAAAACGGTTTTCCAAAAGCGATGCGCTCTGTTAAGCCCGGAAAAAAGGCAAAGAAATTGTTAACAGAATATGTGTAGTAAACGCAAACATTAAAATCGTGCCAGCCGGTGTACAAGGCAAACAACAAATAGTTTTAGATGTTTTGCCCACATGTACAGTGAACACATCAAGTGCACAGTGGAGCCTAGAAATAAAGGCACTACAAGTTGTATATTTAGATTCATCTTTAAGCCAGTAAATAAAAAAGCTTGCAACCATAATTCCAGCCACAAAGACCCATTAAAATGGCAAAGATTTACAATATGAATCTCAGAATACATTAAAATATTAATTAAATGTCTTGTTAGTTATATTAAATAAGTTCAATAAATTTTTATGAACTGTAAAATAAATGTTTTGCAAGTTTTTATTACTCTTTTTATTTCAATCGCTGTTGTTTTCCCGCCCATTTGGCCCACAAATGCAACTGTCTATAGCGCAATGACCGACAATTGCAGTTGCATAATTTGCGATTGCAAGTTGGCAAAGCCCAAAGCTTTTGGCTCTATTGGTTATGCTTTTAATTAGCCCCTGGCGCAGAGAGTAATTACAGAGCATAATTTGCACCGTTAGTAGCCAGCCCTCTCATGTTTGCTACCTTTTTCTTTCCAGCGATGACAATGCCCATGTGGTGCTCAAGTTCCTGGAGAATGATCATCGGGTGCGTGAGACGGTCTATGGCCACCAGTACAAGATCCGAGCCGAGTTCTCCAAGCCAAACGGTGGGTAGTCTTGGCCCTTGGGCACTGCTTTCTAAGTTGGTAGTTAACGCTGTACTCTATACCCTGTTATTACCATTTTCCCATTTCCAATCATCAGATACCTATGGCCTGCGAGTGGGTAACTGCTTTGCCTTTGACAAGAAGAACAGGACCCAAAAGCTCACCGATGATAGCGGGTAAGTGGAATATTTAAAAAACTATAAACTTGAATTACAATTTAAACACTTGGCTTAATAGCATAATAAGTGAAGATACATAAATGTGAGGCTAATTTACTTATGCTTACTATTTTCTTCTAGCTGCCCCTATGACAAGAATATCATCAGTCGCTTTGTGCCCACAGCAGATGGACGAGCTGCCGAAGCGGTGCTTAACTCGATGTTCAAGTTTCCCGAGGGTATTTTCATCTAATCCTAGCCTAAGGCATCAAGACTCTAACTCTGAATTTCTCTCTAGGATCCGAGGTGCATCTGCAGTGCGATGTGATTCAGTGCTATGGTCGTTGCGTGGAGATCGATGACTGTAATGATGTAGCTTTGGCCGGATTTGGCAAGGGCACCAATGGACCCAGAAAATTCGGTCCCAATGAAGAGGGTTCCAGCCTGGCCGGAACCACGGTCTTTGTGCTCGATCCCAACGAGGCCAGATGTGAGTTTATTTACTTAAGTTGTTGTGTTATATACGATATTTAAACTATGTCTATCTGAGAGCAGTGATCTCGGGAAATTGCGAGGATGGCATTCGACCCAGTTGGCTGCTGTGGCTGACCATTACTTTGGGCGTTCTCTTCCTGATCATGCTGCTGATGAACATCTTCCTATGCACCGCCATGAGCTGCAGTTGTGCTAACACAGAGGTAATAAATATAAACAAATGCTAAACCAATCCTTAAAAGAACCCCTCTTCAATTTCGAATAAATCTAAACAAATATAAATTCTTGCAGATAATCGAGAAGGAGCCATCGATCATCGAGGAGTACGATCCGTATCGCAGTTGGCATGGCAGTCAGTACGGTTCAAGGTATTCGCTGCACGGCAGGGATGCCCACAAGGGATACACCAGCGGTGGCTCCACGATACACTCAAATAGGTCTGATAGATATTAAGATGCCTCTACAAAAAAACAAAAATACGTAAAAAACAACACACACACACACACACACACACGACACACCTCTATTCTACAACTCAAAATGCATCTATTTTCTGGTAGCTGCGGAGCCACACACACAATACAAAAGCATGCCAACAAAGTATCTTATATCTGCGTATCTCTATGTATCGTATATATATAAAAATCTCTGCCCAGCTGGACAACAACACAATCGATCACAAACAAACAGAAAAATCAAAAAACAAAACCATAGAATGAACAACCATTTCGTGCCTAGTAACTGAAACTGTAATTAACCGATAGTAACTTGCATTTGTCTACCGGTAATCACTAACTCTCTCCCTCCCACTAAACCTATGCTACAGCGACTATAATTTCCAGCCTACCCATACTTAAATTAAATTAAACAAAAAATAGAAAACAAGAAAAGACAATCGGATGACTAACCGCCAATTTGAATGAGTTGCTAACCAATCTGTCTTGACTCCCCACTATCTGCAATTTGAAATTGTATTGTATTGTATTAAATCCAACCTTATCCAACGTACTTCGAAGGTCGATGCCAATCGATAACGATAACGATTATGCCATCGTGCATTCGCGTCCAGGCTCTAGACATTCCACGTTACACGGACAGCGCGCCCATCGGGGACCGCCCAGTAATATTTGAAAAGATCCCAATAGGAACGATAGGAACGCGACAATAATGAACGCTAATTCTATAAGTTAGTTTAAGTTAATCAAGGGGTGTCAAAGAAATAGCTGGAAAGTACAAAACAACCTGAAAAGGTGTCTAAAGTATCTCTAGCCATTTCTGTGACACCCCCACATACCCAAATGTATGTCTCCCCTTTCCCCATCTCTCGAACTTGAGTCTCAAATGTACATAACTATGTGAAAATTCTCGCCCTGCCCTGCAAATTTTCCAAATTTCTCCAGAACGAACGTTAGGGATGATGAAGCCGCTGTAAAATACTAAACTAAACGTACTAAAGTTCTCTTTGCCTAATTTTAATTGAACCACTTAACATAAGTCATTAGTCTGTCATAAGTGCGAACGAATGTGTATTAGTGAAATGTTTCAACTACTTGTGTAACTTGTAAAAATAAACAAAAGCAGGCCAACAAAATTAATTTAAATTAAAAAAAGCTACAGTATAGTCTAAAATGTTAAGAAGCGAACAATTTGGCAAATGCATTAAACGTACGAATTGTAATTAATTATAAATTTAATGATTTAATTTAATAAAAAACTAAAAAGAAAAAGGGACTCTTTTTACTTTGCGAGGGGTGGATAAAATAATACAAAATAAACTACCATTGGAGCATTAGAGAAATGTCTGCCTGCTGTTGTAGTTTTTTTTAATTATTTTATTTATTAATTTTTTTTGTTATTTTTAATTTTAGCCAAACGCAATGAAAAATTTTCCTAGAATTTATATATAATTAATTATCTCTTCGGATTATTTGTTGTGCTCAACGTGTCGTATACGTAATGTGCCTTGACTTGTTGACGTGTTGTTTTCGCCCAAAATGCCAAAATTAAATACTTATCATGAATTGATATTGTATACTGTAAGAGGTATAAGCAGTCAAAACATACCTAAAGTTTTCAATAAGAGTTTACAAACAAAATCTACAGAGGAGAGCTTCCAATTACTTTGGTTTCATTTATTAATTACTGCAATCATATTGATTTTGTATATTTTACTAATTTTTATGCAAAACTTATTTTAAAATCATAATTAAGGCTTCAAGACTTATTTAAAATATATAAATACCTAAAGACCTTCCCACATCGCGTCCTATGAAATAAAAGACAGCCCGAATAGCATATGTACCTAAAAGTATGCAACAATTGTTTGGAATTCAGCTGCTAGAGCAGTAGCAAAGCCATGGTATTCCCCCAGGCGCTCATATTGAATGTAAACTATAAATAAACTTGTAAATATACAGAAATAGCAATGTAAGTGAAAATATTGAATTAATTTAAATTAAAACAGATTAATTAATGTTGTCTTGAGTAAATTATGATTCATCTTTTAATTCGTAGCTATAAGTTGAGTAAGTACTTCCGGAGCGTCGGCGCCCACCCTTTCTCACTGGAAATCCCACCCTGCCCTCGGCTTATCTTCCCTGCTCTCCAACAACCAGTTTTTCGCTCTCTTTAGTTCTCTCTCTGCCTGCCGTGGGATTCGCACTCGCTTTCAGCACAGCTGTCGTTGCATGATTTTCGCAGTCTCAGTTTCACATTCACAGTTTCGAAGTCGTTGAGCGCGGAAGTGCCCCGGAAAAGAGCGAAAGAAAACCCATTTCGGCACACAGACAACGCGATTTTCGTTGAATGGCCGCTGTGTGTGTTGTTTGTTTGTGTTTGTGTTCGGTTTAGTGTCTGTGTAATCGCGCAAAGAAGTTCGGCGGCAGCGACAGTGTAAAATAGTGAAGCATAAAGGCCAAGCGAAGAACAACACATAAAACCCGAGACATCAAAGTTCCCCTTATTTCTTAGAGTGTGTGTGTGTGTGTTCGCTGCTTATAGTGTTAGTGTTCCTTGTTTATTTCTGTTATATCTTGGCCCTTTCTCGCCTACCTTTTGCTACCTGTGAATTGGTTAACTTTGTTGTTGCAGCGGTTTGCGTGCCGAGTTAAAACCAAAACAACATGCTCGAATATTAGTCGGCAAATGTAAGTATGACTGTGAGTGTGGGTGTAAATGCAAATGTGAGAGTGTAAGTGACCGTGGCGCGATTTAATAACAATGCACCGTTGGGAATAACAACTGAAATTACTCTCAAACGCGTGACTGGCGAACTCAAAATCGATAGGAGCTCCCGAAATTGGCCAGCGTCGCAAAACAAAAAAACAACAGCAAGCGCAAATCCACAATGCTGCCCTTAAAAACACACACTATACAGTTGCGGTCAAAAAAATAGCAACAAGAAATGAACACAAAATACATAATAATAGATATGTGTTTTATTTTTGTATTTTTTTAATAGGTTTGTGTGATATCTTATCAAAAACGTCTCAATTAAAGTTTAAACTTTTTCGCAGCCTGACCCTATTATAAATAATTTGTCATAATAATATTTGTTGATCCATCATTAAGTTTTGTTTTTGTTTATTAATATGTATGGCGATGAATTAAAGATATACTTGTTAAATTGTTGTTCTCTTTAGCAGTAATCTTTTGTGTTATCTTTTAATATTTCTATTAAAGACGTCTTATAAATATAGTTATGGCAACCAAGTTTAAAGTAGTAATATACAATCAATAATTCACAATGACTCAAAATGGTTATTATTAATTTTTAAGTCCTACACTAAATAGTTAATTTTTTTAACCGCAGCTGTTTAAAAGGCAGATATGATATATGTATCATGTACAGTGACTCATCCGATTTGACTTTGCAATTGCAATCTTTACGCAAATTAACTTTGGTGACCAAATGAAATCTATTTATAAATCTGCAGATAACACTATTGTCATGCGGAAGAAATCATAAATCAAAAGAGGAATGAATTATGATTCAGTCTTATTAAATAATTAAGTTATAGAGCAACAAAAACGTTCCTAATCAAAACAAAAATAATTATTAAATGCGCACTTTCTAACTAAAAGTTAAAATGAAAGTCTAACATTGCATTTTGTGAAAATTCTTTACATTACAAAAATTTCGAGAGGCAAAATAAAGGAAATAGTTGATGTGAGAAAAGATTATTGTATTTTAAATCTTTTCTCACATCAACTATTTCCTTTATTTTGCCTCTCGAAATTTTTGTAATGTAAAGAATTTTCACAAAATGCAATGTTCTCTCAGTTGAAAATAATTTAAATTTAGCCACGCGCCTTTCTGGCCCACTGACAACTCTCAAGTTTTGCCGGCCGAATGTTCGGTGAAAATGTCATTAACCTCGCGGACCATTTGAATTCGAATGTTGTCGCTAAAGTTGAGACAGTGTAACGAATATTGAATATTATGCTAATGACAGAGATGATAATGAATGACAAACGCACTCATATCTGTTTAAATGACCGAGATATTTGTCTTTGTAGGTCAGCAATGTTGAAAGTTAGCTGTGCAAATATGATTAACAATAAAATGAAATGCATTATATAAGCAAGGGAGAAGAGGTCAGTTCTGGTAAAACGATAAGTTTGTTTAATAAATAATGTGACAAAGAGAACGGAAAATGACAGAGGATTGTTTATCACTTCAAGTGCCACTTTATGGTGATGAAATATTGTAAAGGGTTCAGCTTGGTTCGGTGCAGGAGAATGTCATGCATGATCACAGTTTTGTATGGCAAGATTTTTGGAACAAGAAAACAATAAATAATGATTCTCCTTTGTTACTTTTCGCAAAAGCAAATTGATTTACAGCGTTCCATTTAAACAGCACAGGCCAACAATACAGGGAATCTAATACAAAAGTATTATTTTATTTTGTTTAGTTCTTTACGTAAATTTTAAAGCTAAAATACAAGCAAGAAAACTATCAAATAAATAGCATACAAGTATTATGTTCAGAAGTAAACTTTTCAAAATAAAAGTAAAGTAAAGATAATACTAAGCATTAATCATTACTTTTCAATGCCAATATTAAACATTATTCTTTACTTTTTCATTTAAACCTTATTCGTATATATTTCTAATATTCTGACGGCTACTGTTCTCTCGTATACTTGCTTTTTATGTGTGATAAATAAGCTTGTTTGTTTTATACGCTGCATACATATATCCAGTCGAAAGTCTCATTCTTATCGCATTTTCACTGTGTTTACTTAAATTTTAAAATGCTCTCTCAGTCGTCTGCTATTCCAGCTTTAAGTTACATATGAAAAGGGAGCGATAAATCAACAGGCTTAGTAATATTTAAATCGTTGGAAATATATACATACATAAGTAAACCCTCAAAAACGATGAGTTACCTTGGTGGCTGTCTAATCAACAATCGGAGTACTACGTCACTGTATTGTTTGTTGTTATTTTAATGAGTTTCATGAGCCATACCAAAAATAAACTTAAAAACCTAATATACAGTGTACATTATATACAATCAATCGGTTTCAAGTTCAGCATACCTAGCGTACCCCTGTAAACTAAAGCCACCGAAATATATGATGTCATATTGGTCGAACCAGAAAGGCCGGGATCACATGGCACAGTCGGCTGGGTCGGTCTTGGTAATATAATTTGAGCTCGACTCGGAGTCGAGTTCGTGGTGTGATTTTTGATCATTAGCTCACCGGTTCGCAGAAATTCTCGCATTTTTTGTAGTCTCTCTTTTATTACGGAAATTCATCAGTGCACATGGGAGATATATACACAAAAGTTACACTAAAATAAATCGTAAGGTTAAATGGATTACAAAAGAATATATTCTTAATATTAAATTAATAGAAAATATCACTTCATTTAAATTGAAAATAATCAGATCATAAAAAGCAAGTACTTAAATTAATCACAAATAAGTCAGTCTACTAAATATTTGAAATGATTAAACTCACGCACTATATATTAGTATACATTTCAAGAACTAAGATACCTAGATATTTGATGGATCTTAATAATATAACAAAGTTTTCTCGACAAATTAAATACCTTGACTTTTCAAATCAAACCGTAGTTTCCATTACCAAATGCTTATTTTTCCTAGTGTAAATTTTTCCCCAGACAATGAGCTCATCTTAGTTAAAGCCTCTTTTATATAATGTATTTCCCTTACTTTGCCCACCAAAAAATACCCACTAGTCAGTCAATAGCTGTGGCATTCAACGATTAACTTTGAGTTTGTTTGGTTAATTGGTATCTAATCGCTGGAGGCTGACCCCCGGAGACACCTCTCGAAATCAAATGGAGACACCGCCCCACTCAAAAACGAGCTGACTTTGACATCGCCCACACGCTAACTTGAGCGATTCTCTCAGCTCAGAGCAAAAAATATATATACAGTGCAATATATACAGAGATATATCTAAACATGCATCGGGGTTTTTGTGTGGCATCGGCTATATAAATTGCTGCAATTAATATAATCAGCCCCAACGCTGTTGCATTTCTGTTAAATGTTAAATGCATTTCAATTGTTTTCCGCGCTGCAGGCTACCTTCACCTCTCCGGGAATTATTATCGCATGTCTAATTGTGAAAAATATCGATTTTTAAATTTTAAATCGCATTGTCAGCAATTCCTCGAACTACAATGAGTAATTACATAACATCGTGCTCTAGAACTCTGGTTTATCATTTTTTTTTCATTTCAGGCAAAGAGTCAAACTCTCATTTTCGACAAACAAGAAGCAGAGATGTGCAGACGTGATAAGGCACTCAAAAAACAACAATCTCGGTTATAATAGAGGAGAGAGGAGTACTATAAAACCAACTAAATTTGGAGGAGAAGTTATAAAGATTTGGTGAAAAATGACAATAACATATACCGGTGAAGTGGCCACTTGCCGCGGCTTTGGATGTTTTCTCAAATTGCTGCTCAGGTGAGTGAAGTTGAGTGTTGAGGTCTTATGTACTTCAGCCAGATACTTTATATAAATATATATAGAAATACAGTGCGAAATTGTTAGCCAGTTTGCTAATTATAGAGCATTGACACACTTCGGACAATTGGATAGATATGGATAGCGTTGAGAAGCACAATTGCGGCAAATGCAAATTACAGAACTTTTCCACTTTCATTCAAATAGTACAAACTGCACTGCAATTGTCACGAGTATAACCCCTCCTTTTCCCTGTCCTTTTCCCGGACTCTCGTTTACTACTATATAGAGTATGTAATCTAGACCTCGTGTAGTCATAACTCTGACATCTGTCACGGCTTGTTGTCTGAATTATAATTTAATAATGAGCCACCCGTGGGTTTAGTTTTCCCCCACGCATTTTCCTTGACTATATGTACATTCATTGCTGATAATAAACTAGATTGTTATGGCTAAAAGGTAATCAATGAGCTGCCAACTAAATTCTTTGATGAACTAATTAACCGCTGTTGATATCGCCAAAACAGTGGATTGTAATTGGCAAAGGGAATCTCCCATAATGATTCACGTGCTCTTCTCCATAAAACCACATTTTAAAATTTCCAAAAAACCATAAAATATTGTTATTGTTTTGGTCATGCGAGGAACCTTTTCTTCTTGGTTTTAAGATATCGTACAATTGTTCCTTATATCAACCTTTATTCGGCTGATAAGCTGTATAAATATCGTGGGGACGTCATGTCGAGGTGGCTTAAAATATTGAGACTCTGGAAATATGCTTTATGACGATTTGTGTCAACAACAAGTGGCCAAAAATTATCGGCTCTCATATCAGCAAGCAAATTCGCCGTGACGTTGCCAATCATAATACTACCAGTATCAATTGCGGCTAATGTATCATCCTCAGACACAGTGCCGCTAATAATCAAGGGAAAGCAAACAGAGTCAAGTGGGGATCTGGAACGAAACCATAACGCGAAATATTATTGCTTGATAAGGGCCCCGCGGCTGTATGCTGATTAGTTTGACGTGTTCGGTCTATTTCTGTAGGCTGATGTATCAAATGGCGAAGGGTATTAATATCAGCAGTTTAAAGCTTACTAAACTTTATAATGAACTATTTACAGATGGCGAGGAAGTATTTACAAGCTAGTCTGGCTAGATCTTTTGGCCTTCCTTATCATTTACTATGCGATAAATATGGTTTATCGTTTCGGCCTAAATCCAGGACAAAAAGAGTGAGTATTATTGAAATTCTATAAGAGAGAAGGATGTTTCTCTTAATAAATTTTGAATTAGGAGACAAGCAATTATTACTTTTAGTTTTAAATATTTCGATCTATTATCTTGAGCTTCTATATTGCTTTTATTTAAACAATAGGTTTTAAGCCACTACTTTGTAAAATGTAACCTTTACAACTTAAAAGTCAAGTATAATTTTATTTATATATAGAAAAAAGGAGATAAAGAGTATTAAACTGTTGTTTCCAACAATGTATGTTTGTCTTTAACTTATCAGTTTATTAAATTTAATAATAAACATTTAATAAGAAAAGTATGACCTCAAAGCATTTGATTATATTTGTTCAGGCCAATTAGTACCCTTGAATCACAAGCACAACAATTTAATGAAAGGTGTTGATGAATAGAGTTAATAAAAACGATTCTGAAGCGATTTCTCCTTCGATTTGCAATAAATTTGCATACTCCTACTCCATTTAAATTTATTTAAAATCTATAATAATTACTATTATTAATTTAATTTATATCTCCTTTTTTCAGGACTTTCGAAGCCATTGTCCAATACTGCGATAGTTATAGAGAACTCATTCCCCTGTCCTTCGTCCTGGGTTTCTATGTATCCATTGTGATGACCCGCTGGTGGAACCAGTATACCTCCATTCCCTGGCCAGATCCCATTGCCGTCTTCGTCAGCTCCAATGTTCATGGCCAGGATGAGCGAGGACGTGTGATGCGACGTACGATTATGCGTTATGTCTGTCTCTGCCTGACCATGGTCCTGGCCAATGTATCACCCAGGGTGAAGAAACGTTTTCCGGGACTCAATAACCTCGTGGAGGCAGGTCTCCTCAATGACAACGAGAAGACCATCATCGAGGCAATGAACAAATCCTTTCCCAGACCCTCGAAACACTGGTTGCCCATTGTCTGGGCTGCTAGCATCATCACCAGGGCCAGGAAGGAGGGACGCATTCGAGATGACTTCGCTGTGAAGACCATCATCGATGAGTTGAACAAATTCCGGGGTCAGTGCGGACTCCTCATCAGCTATGATACGATCAGTGTTCCGCTTGTGTACACCCAAGTGGTGACCCTGGCAGTGTACTCCTACTTCCTGACCTGCTGCATGGGCCAGCAGTGGACCGATGGCAAGGTGGTGGGCAATACCACTTACCTGAACAAGGTGGATCTCTACTTTCCGGTCTTTACCACGCTGCAGTTCTTTTTCTACATGGGATGGCTCAAGGTGGCCGAGTCGCTGATTAATCCCTTTGGAGAGGATGACGATGACTTTGAGGTAGGTCTTAAGGGTTTTTAATTTTGTTAAATAATACTTAAATAAAATGTTACAGGTCAACTGGATGGTGGATCGCAATCTGCAAGTCTCCTATCTGATCGTCGACGAGATGCATCATGACCATCCGGAACTGCTGAAGGATCAGTACTGGGATGAGGTGTTCCCCAACGAGCTGCCGTACACAATCGCTGCCGAACGGTTCCGCGAGAATCATCCGGAGCCATCCACAGCCAAGATCGAGGTGCCCAAGAATGCGGCCATGCCCTCGACCATGTCGTCTGTGCGCATCGATGAAATGGTTGGTAATGCTAATGGCGCCACTGCCGCCGCCGCCGCTCCGGACACAAAGGTCCCGCTTGCGGCTCCGGGTCAGGTTCCCGGCCAGGCCTCTGGCCAGGTTCCGGTTCCGGGTTCGGATCAGCAATCCGTTACCTATGACTTTCCCAAAGGCTCGCCAGACGAGGAGGTTAGAATCAGAATGTTGGCCGCATTTCCTAGCGATACGAAGCATTGGCACCCGTCTCTCAATTGGTTAACCAAAGTCATCATCTCTCAACCTGCGACCCGAACCAAGTTCAAAATTAATCCAAATTTAAATCAAAAGTTTCTAACCTCTTTTTCTCGTTTGTTTGACTTGAAAGAACATTGCATTTGTGGCATCACAGTTCGCTCATTGGCATTCTGAATCACAAACGGTGCTTGGTAGTTATAAAATTGTAATCTAAATGTACAGAGTGTTGATAAATCTATATATACTATATATAAATATAAGGAGCAGGCACAGTGGGAGCTCTACTTGCAACATTTTATATTAAGTTGTGTCTCTAGTATCAAAAGGTACGCTCAACAATTGCCGTTGAGTGTTAGCTTTAATAAGCCTTTAACACTAACCTTTATTATAATCTAAATTTATTAGTTTAATAAGTTATTTTATAATTATTTTAGGTATCTTATTTGTAACCTTAAAAGGTATTATCAATTTATTTTAAAGCTTTTAAGGCAATGAAGGAGTCATTTCCGACCCTATAAATCATATATATTCTTGATCAGCATTAACAGCCGAATCGATCTAAGCATGTCTGGTAACAAAAAAACATTTTCAAAATTTTTTCAAATTTTCAAATTTTTATAAGGGGTTACATCGTTAAAATTGTCAAAAATTGCAAAAAATTTCAATATACTTAAATTTTAAATTGAGTATGCAGATTTATAAAACTAATAAAAACTAGCATAGGAAAGCTTTCCGAATTAAAGTTAATGTATTTTTGGTCGAGTTATGAGATTTTTAAACCTTGATTTGTTGAACAAATTGTCATATAAAAGTAGTGTTAAATATTGATTCACATAAAGTAAATATTTCAATTGATTTATTTTTTCTATACATTCAAAAGTAAATTTTACGACCCCTTTGACCATGTATATTTCTATTTTAAAATACTCTTCTTCTGAGTAAACACTGTGCCTGTTGTCCTCTCTGTAACCATAAGTTAAGAACGGTGTTTGTGTCTCTCTATGCTTTAAGATAATGCCTACTAACTTTTGATTCTAACTGTCTAAAGGATCTGTCTACAGCCTCAAGCCTCTCTAACAGCACCTTGCACTGCACGACTTTCAAATGCTTTCTGCTGCACTGACCCTAGAGCACTCAATGGTTTCAAGAGTAATCCGAGCACAGCGGACTTAAGACTATAATACTTAAATCCCTATTTAAATTTTAAGCTAATGTAATTATTTTCTTAACCCAAATCAGGCGGATGATGCCAGTGGCATTCACTTCTCAGCTGGCAATGGAAAAATGCGTCTGGGCTCCTCGCCCTCGCTGGTTAGCGTTTCGGGCACTTTGTCCCGTGTTAACACAGTGGCTTCAGCTCTAAAGAGATTCCTGAGTCGCGATGATAGCAGGCCAGGATCGGCCACGCCTAGTGAGGACCAAAAGCCTTACAAATTCCCAGCCAGCGCCAGCTCAGCGAGTCTCTCGGGAGTGGCGGGATCTGCCACATCGGCGGGTAAACCAGCTGGCAGCATGCGGATAACCCATCAGGTTATCGAGGAGGTGGACGAGCAGGCCACCATCACCTCGATGAGGGCCAATGAGCCGCGTCCCAATGTCATGGATATATTTGCATCATCCTCGGGAGCTGGAGGACCGCCTTCGGGGCCATTGCAGCCACCGCCTGCTCACTCGGAGCCGGTGGACATTCCTGCACGTCCTCCCAGCTACAATCGAGCCCAGTCCCAGTACGAGCCCACTCTGTTCCCTCCTGGAGGAGTGGATAACCTGCTCAGCACCTCGGCGCCAGCAGGCGGTAGTCCCTCGCTGCTATCCAATGCCGCCACAGCACCAAGCTCGCCGGTGGGTGACAGCTCCAAATCCTTGTACGATCCCCAGAAGGCGGCCAGCCGGGAGACGGGTAAGTTACTTGTTCCATGACCCCATCCGTTTAGCGGATGCGTTGGAATGCCCGCCCGCTTCTTATACAAAAAAAAAACTACAACTCATTTTTAACAATTGTGTATCTTCATTTTCAAACAAATTTCGGGAACTTTTAAAGAGAGGCCCGATGCACCGCAGGTTTTCAGGTGGTTCGTCACGCCCGGTAAAGTTCACATCCATTGATTGGCCCTATTAACTTGTTTGAATAATTTAGCTTGCTCTACTACGTAATCGTTGCTGGTTCTCTCCCGTCTCGTTTAAATGTAGTATTTTTTATTTTTCTATTTTTCAACAGGTGTGCTAGCGTTTTTCTCACTAAGTTCAGTTTTTGTCAATCGTAAAGTTCACTTGGCGAATAATTTGTCTTGCCTTTGTTCTATAATTAATATATTTTTTATTACGGCGTAGTGTGATTATTTTAGTTATTATTTATTGATTATAGTTTAGTTTTCACTTTAAATATCAGTTTCTTAATTTATGTAGATTTTTTCTAAAATTATTTACAGCATGTTAAAGGAGGAATTGATTTAATTTATATTGTACGTCAGAGAAATATTTAGTTTTTTAATTAGTAAGATTTCCTTTAATTTTGATTTTATTTGTTGTTTACGTTTTAATTAATCATAGAAAATAATACGTTTTATTGTTTTATAGGTTTAATCTTGTTGTTCCCTTAAAGGGTATTATATTTAAGTTTTTAGTTTGAAACAGAATTAAGGATTCATTTCCGACCCTATAAACCATATATATTCTTGATCAGTATTGAGTGCTGAATCGATCTAGCCATGTCCGGCGTTACATCGTTAAAATTGTCAAAAATTAAGCAAAATTTTAATGTTTTTCAAGATAGAATTGAGTATTCAGATTGATTAATCTGAAAAAATTAACATAGGAAAGGTTTTCGAATTAAAATTAAGACATTTTTAAAATAGTTATGATCAATTTAAAATCAACTGCAATTGCAACTACAATTTAATACATTTTTTCGGAAGAGAGAATGAAAGCACACCTAATTTTATATTTATTTTATAATTACTTTGTATTGGTAAAGATTTGGCATGTGCTTTTTGAAAGTGCTGCCCACCGTTTTGAGTACTAACCCCGGCTTAGCGTTTTAAACGGTATAATTTAAAACTTCATAAGACGAGCCCAGTAAAGTTTTCTGGGTGGTCAAGTAGGTAACCAATAAAAAAAACCCCGTAACTCCAAATTCATATTGGTTTCCCCGCCTAGCATTTAGTCCATTAGACGTTGCACGTTGCGTAATTCCCCATTTATTTTTCGCTCTATATATGAATACAATTCCTAATCCGATTCTGTATATGTTTGCAGTGGAGAACCTGGATTTGAGGGCCTCAACCGATTTGCTGACCCAGGCCCAGGCGGCCGTGGAGCCCGAGGACGAGGGCGATGACTTCGAGAAGCTGAAGGCGGCTCGTGAGAAGGAGAAGCTGATGCGCCAGCAAAAGAACCTGGCCCGCACCATCAGCACTGCTCCCGGTGTGGACGCCACGGCTGTGCCGTTGGTTCCCATGATCCCCGTGGCCGTGGCAGTGCCTCCGCCGAACGTGCCGTCCGTTCCCTCCAGTGCCGATCTCTTGAGCGGCTCGGAACTCCTTCCCAGCTCGACCATGAAGTCGGAGGACGCCGTCAATGGCAGTTGAACACAACTAGTATTTTGATTCGTACCCTTACATAGGCTAAGTGTAGTGCATTATTTAATTAATTAATTAAGCTAAACCGATACCTATATATATACCATATATATATATCGCCGCTGACATTGAGAATACACATAGTTAGTGTAATAACGGACAGTCTAAGATGAATGCTCATAACGTCTCTTGAGTGAGGAAGATGGACCTAATTAACGCAGTTAATAACACAAATACTAAAATTTAAGTAGAAAGTTATTTGAATTTTACAAATATAAGTTTATTTTGTAAATGGCTAAAGTGACTTGGATTTGATTTCTCATGGCCTGGTTTTCCTGGATATTGTGATCATGATTTTATACTCTGGTCTAAAGAAACCGGCTTCCTAAGAAACTTGTTTAGACATTAAAAATTTATTGTGACTTACTAAATAAAAGTTAATGATGGCCTTAAGCAAAATATAAATGAAAATAAAAGAGAACCTAAAAAAGACTCGAATTTATTTGTTAGTTTCTTAAGAAGAAATACCATAACTCAACCATAAATTCATTAATTTTAATTCAGAAACCGTTCCTATGTTAGTTTTTAATAGATTAACAAATCTGCATAATCAATTTTGAATTTTTAAAAATTCAAATTTTTTGCCATCAAATTTTGAAAATTTTGAAAAATTTTATTTTTCCGGACATGGCTAGAACAATTAAGCTTTTCATGCTGATCAAGAATATATAATATATGATTTATGAGGTCGGAAATGACTCCTTCACTACATAACAAGCTTCTGACTAAAATTACAATACTGCAAATGATTAAATATGAATATTAATTTATGCAATTATTTTTATATAGCGAAGTTTAAAAATCTCATGACTAAGCCAAAAAGCCATTAATTTCAATTCGGAAAACTTTCCCATGTTAGTTTTTATGAGGTTAACAATTCTGCATATGCAGTTTAAAATCTAAAAAAAATCAACTCTTTTGACAATTTTAACGATGAAAAATTGAAATTTGTTTCTAAAAACTTTTTTTCTGCCGGAGATAGCAATAAAGATTCGTCTGAAAATACCCTGCCAGGGTATAAAAAAGAAAATTAAATAAAAAATTTGAATTTGAGTTATCACAAATAGTGTACCGAAAATGACAGTTACGGAACTAGCCGCTCATGAACTGGAATCAGTACCGGCCACCATCCCTGCTTGTTTCAGCCCTGGACTTCTTGCAAAAGCAGAGTTGTCAATCAAAACAAACCAAAAAGTGATTTTTTAAATGATTTTTGAATATGACGACGAGCCTCTCGGAATCCGAGGCCGCCGACGAATTTATTTGGCAACGATGGTGTCGCCTGTGCGCCAAGGATCATCCTCAGAATCGAAATGTGTACTCCCGGGCGGCTGAATCGCAATCCTGGACAAATATGCTGGCGATGACCATCGGAAAATACTTTTGGGTTGATGTAAATATTATTTATTTTCAAAATAAACCGTTTTTAAACTAAAGTAAACATTCCAGATAAAACAGAAGGATGAGCTGAGCAATTACCTGTGTGCCGAATGCTTCAATATGATGGAAAGCTTAATGGAATTCTCGGAGAGAGTTCGAAGGGTTCAAACCCTTTTTAATAGGCTGCAGACGGCTACAAAACCAGGAGCTTCAGTGGACTATGAGGAACTGCGACAGGATTGCGGCTTGGTGGACAATGATTGGAAACACTTAATGTCCCAGAATGTTAAACAGCTTTCTCCAAAAGAAGCTATACAGAAAATAATAGATCAAGTACCTCAAATTGTTGAAGATGCAGATGCACTTTTAGACGAAAACGTAGAAATTATAGAGGAAGAGTTACAGTCAATGGAACTGCAAACTGTCGAGGAAGAGGTGGAACTACAGGAGGCTCCCGATTGCATAGAGGAAGGGAAAAACATACCCGAGGAGGAATTCGATGAGGAGTCTGAAATAATCGAGGAAAACTACAACATCGATGCCTACGAAGAAACCGCACAAGAGCAAGGCTCTCACGGAACGCTCAAAAAATCAAAACTTAAAGCTAAGCTCAGCGAGGAGACACAGGAAGTCGAAGAAGAAGATGACTTCTCCGCCGAGAATCTCATAGAGGAAGACCACGAACCCGCCATTTACAAGTGTAGCATCTGCAGCAAACCGTACAAAAAGCCAAAGTCCTACAAGCGACACATGATGGATGTGCACAACGTGGTGCCTACGGATCTGCCCAATCTGGAGTGTAATCAGTGTGGCATAATCTTTCCCACAGACAGCCAGCTTCATGCCCACTATCGCTCACATTTGCCGGCCAACCTCAAGGCGGATAACTCCTGCCCACACTGCGAAAAGCGATTCACCACGCCGGGCACACTCAAGCGGCACATTGAGGGGGTTCACAAGGGCATCAAGCCATTTACCTGTGACCTCTGCGGAAAGGGCTTTAAGTACATCACTGGACTCAAGGATCACAAGCTCGTACACACGGATGAGTGTCCCTTTGAGTGCCCCGATTGCCACAGACGGTTTAAGAACAAGGCCAGGTTAAAGGTAACTATTGCAGAAAAGCAGTATAATTTATATTAGGTTTTTAATTTCTTATTTAAACATTTTCCAGATCCATTCTGATACGCACAGTGCCAACATTTACGAGTGCGGCATATGCGGCATGAAGCTCAAAACCCGGCGGACCTTTAACAAACACAAGTTGGTCCATTCGGACGAGCGGCAGTACAAGTGTGATGTCTGCGGTTCATCCTTCAAGCGAAGCAAGACATTAAAGTCGCATCTCATCCTGCATACGGGCATCCGGCCGTACAAGTGCAACTTCTGCGGCAGGGAATTCTCCAATGGCTCCAACTGTAGATCACACAAGCGACAGGCGCATCCCAAGGAACTGGCTGAGGAAGAGTCGCGAGGGGTTTCTCGGTCCACACTGCTGCCAATGCTGGAGGAACTGACCAAGGCGTAAGTTTACCAAAATTGTTTAAAGAACTGTGTACATTTTAACCTCTTGTGTTCCTTTTTCCAGGTCCAAACTCATTAAGACACCTGCCAAGCCCAGCAAAACAAAGGGCAGTATGCCGAAAGCTTCGTCTAAAAAGCCTGCAATTGTCACTGAACCTTCCACAAAGGACACCGAAGGCGCTATCCTCTATGAAATCGTCGAGGAGCTGGATTACACTTAAGTATTACAATAAACATTATTTATAAACAAAACCCTAGAAGTGGCATTTACAAGTATTTATTCTTTTTTTACAATTCAAGTTTATTTCTTAAAAATACACTTTGAGGGTTGAGTTTTGGAAATCTTAAATGCTCAATAGGCAGCGGTAAGTCGAAAAACGAATGAAACTTAGGCAAAACTATATCGAATACATAAATCACAAGGCAATCAACGAATTTCGAAAACCATATTTATAATAAATAACAAAGATTTTTAACAATTGTCCCGAATAGACTTTGGAATGTTTTCAAGAAACTTAGATGCTCTTTAAAGCGGTTAGTATGGAATTCGTGATTCCCATTTAAAAAAAAATACAGGAAAATCCGCTGGGCACACTTAACAAAGATCACATATTGGGGGATGGACCACATACGATTAGGTTTACATAGCTACAAATTTGGTAATATGTGTCGATTTGTAAGGATGAACAAATTCAAAAGAAAAGATAGAGATTTACAAGATACAAAAACAAGTTTTCTATGATATTTGAGCAATATTTGGGAACTTTTCTCTTAATTAGTTACTTGTGAGCACTAGAACAATACCAATTTTAAAATAATGGAAAATACAAATACTTTGAAAGGGACGCCACAGCAATTACTACACATTTATAGTTCATCCACAGGTACTTCTGTGACATCCCTAATAAAATATAAATTTTTGTGTGAAAATTTGTTTTAGTAGCCAATATTCTTTGATAAAACCGACCCTATCGTATGCTGGGAGTATTATTACACTTAAGACCGACCTACATTTAGACACGTTGAGCTTATATGTTACAGCTAAAATGTACAAATTTCACTAAATACACCGAGAGCGAAGCGAGTAAATCTGCACACTGTCCCCCGACCAGCTTAACTGAATCCCCGTTGCAGGAGCAGGAGAGCAGCAGCGCTGATTATTATGGCCACTGAACTGGAGAACTCGCTGGCCGTTGCACAGGCGAGGTTGTCGCGCGGATACTTGTTGAGCGGATCGGGCTCCTCGCCCGGCCGGCACTGCTTGCCTTGGGCAGCAAATTGCGCCCCGCAGAGCTCATGGCAAGGCGGACACATGATGGCTCCCTTGTGCAGCCATCCATTTGCCGCTATCCGAATGGACAGCTTCTGGCCAGGGAAGGAGCACTTATAGCTGTAGTTGCCCACCAGGATATGCAGTCTGCCGTCGTAGCAGTCGTATTTGTAACAACCGCTGCCCCAGTGTTGCCACTCCCGAGTCTGGTGGCAGGAGCGCTCCTCCCACATGGACTCGCTATGGTCAAAGCACTTGGCGCCTTCGCCGTAACTCTCCAGCGCAAAGTTCTTCTCGGGCTCTGCAAATGAATGATTAATAAGTTAGCAAAGTTGTTTCAACTTAAGAAGTTTAACTCTTACTTGGATTATTCTCTGTGAAACGACAGTGGGAGCCGCGCACTATAACATTTTTGCTGCGCCAGGTAAACTCCTGGATATAGGGACAATGGTCGGCCAGCGAGACGGATCCGCCATAGAATCCCTCTTCACCATCCTTCACATGGTTTAGGCTATCAAAGTTCTGATAGCTCTTGGGTAGCTCAAACTCATGACGGATAAGATTGCACAAGGCCACCGAGTTGCGGTCATCGGTGCACTCCGTTTGGAGAGGATCCTGCTTGACCTTTGAGCAGAACGGATGTATAGAGCGTCCCCTTTGGTGAGTAAAAATCAAAAGGGGTTAAATCAGAACCAAAGAAGAATATATTATCCATTGCTCACCTGGCATGATTCATCTGTATCCAATCCTTGCAGCTCCGCATGGCGAACGCACAGCCTAGATTTCTACCCCAGGTGAGCGGCGTGGCCATGGAGTAGTTGGCCCTATACCAGCCGGAGTCTTCCATTAGGGCGAGGGTGATGCGCGAGAAGACCGGCGACTGTGTGTGCGTGCCAGTCATGGCCTCGTTCTCGAGAATGCGCTTCTCCCAGTGGGTCAGGGCGGTACCTTCGCCACCCTGATCCTCCAGCTCGGCGCCCTCCAGCTTCTCGCAGCCAAAGTGGGCACGAACTTCGGCCACCACGCGTGGCGTGACCATCATGTCCACCACTTTGTTGACATGGCCACCACGCACAGACCAGTTCTCCCGCACCACCTTGCGAATGGTGTCGTTGCTCCACTGATGGATCTGTAATCTAAGAGGAGACGGGATAAAACTCATATATAATAGACCATTAAGAAAGGCTTTAACTTCTCACTTTTCATTCAGGTACGGCTTGCCAGTATCCGACTTTCTTGGCGTCCGGGGCTTCCCTTCATCATCCCTGAAAAAGGCGTACAAGCTGACGGAGAATCCCAACGCATGAAGGATCTCATGCTTGACGGTGGAGATCAGAGTCTGGAGCTCCTGCGGCTTGGTGCTTATGCTCTCCGGACACAGATTGGCATGTCCTGCAATTGGACGGTCCAGCGCCGCCTCCTGCTGACAATGGGCAGCATAGGCCACCGTGAGACCCTTGAAGCACCTCTGCGTCTGCCTGGCGGACACATAGAAGACGAAATCCGCATTCTCAATACCATCTCCCGGCTGCGTATTGCTATCGATCCTGCAGTTCTGACCAGTGGCATTGCAGACGCGACAGACCTGTTGGGAACAACGATTATATTAATATAGATATGTTATCAAATTATTATTATTAGAACTATAATTTTTTCAAGTGCCTTGGAAGTCCCAAAATATACTAAAAGTAAGTGTAGTAATTGCTCTTTTTTTCGCCTAAACCAGTTTTGAGCTCGATCACTAATTTATTTAAGCAGCAGGTATTTCATTCAAGGCCTTTCTTGTAAATAATAGTTATTAAAAATTGAGTGCAATAAGAGTTTTTCCCCAGAATGCCACCTCAATTATGTTGTGTACAGCGAATTTGAATATTAATTGGAAGGGGGGTTGGGGACACCTCGACCTGGGATACTCACATCCAAGTGCTCGTTGGGAACCTGGACCTCGCCGCACATGGTCGTCGCCTTGCAGTGGTCGATGCAGTGGGTGTGGCCGTTCTTCACATACACCTGGGTGCTGTCACACTTCCTGGAAACCAGCGCAGATTGCAAAGCATATGAATAAATTAGTACATTTTCGGTGTGTTGTCTTTGTCCAGGAACCCGTACCCACCTATTGAGGCGTATAACGCCCTTGGTCTCCCGCACCATGAGGGCCTGTTCCCAGAACTGCACGGCCTCCGGCAGCACAGTGTCCTGTGAGAGGAGAGGAAGGGTTAAATTAAATTCTTCAACTTGACTTCCCAGTATTAACTTCTGAAATGTCAACTCACATTTATTAAATTGAATTTCTCTTCTTCCAGCCTGGCAGCCAGCAGTTGGACATGGAACAATATGAAAATAGTTGTTTATTAGTTCCTGGAATTTACTTAGCAAAAGGATTGGTGTCAAAACATCTCAAAAGCATCTGTGGGAGGTGGAAAGCCATGTTTACTAAAAGGTAAAGTAGGAATTCCAGCAAAATCTGTTGGTCTGTGGCACTTGTTGATGATTAAAAAAGAAGCTTTGGCAACTACATTAAATTATGTTTGTTTTCCGGACTTTTTACCTGGTTTTTCCACGATAACTTTGTTGGTCATTTATGTGTTTTCTTAAAGATTAACTTTTTATATAGAGAAATAAATTATTCTTGTAATTAAATCAGCTATAAATTAAATAATGGTAAAGTTTAAACTCCTTTTTATACCCTTGCAGGGTATTATAATTTCAGTCAGAAGTTTGCAACGCAGTGAAGGAGGCACCTCCGACTATATAAAGTATATATATTCTTGATCAGGATCAACAGCCGAGTCGATCTAGCCATGTCCGTCTGTCCGTCTGTCCGTCTGTCCGTCTGTCCGTTTCTACGCAAACTAGTCTCTCAGTTTTGAAGCTATCTGAATGAAACTTTGTAGTTAGCCTTCTATATACTCTCACTCGTATATATGTCGGAACGGGCCGGATCGGACGACTATATCATATAGCTGCCATAGGAATGATCGGAAAATTTTTACAAAAAAAATTTTAACTTTTTCAGTTCTCTATAGAATTGGATCAAATTTGAGATATAGCCATTTAATATTATTCTACAATTTTGTGTAAAATTTTATGAAAATCGGACGACTATATCATATAGCTCCCATAGGAACGATCGAGAAATTAATTCAATTAATAAGTATAACATTTTCAGTTTTCAACAGATTTTCATCAAATTTGAGATATAGCCGTTTCATATTATTTTACAATTTTGTGTAAAATTTTATGAAAATCGGACTAATATATCATATAGCTCCCATAGGAACGATCGAGAAATTTGAGAGGAATGAGAATGGCGGTGGCTGTTGTCGGAAGACTGACAATCGCGGTGGCGATAACATTTTTAGTTTTCAACAGAATTTAATCAAATTTGAGATATAGCCATTTCATATTATTCTAAAATTTTGTGTAAAATTTTATGAAAATCAAACGACTATATCATATAGGTGCCATACAAACGATCGTTTGATGTAGAAGAAAAATACAAATCTGTGAATATAAAGCTGCAAATATAATATGTATAGGTGAATGAAATAAAAGCAGGTATTACTTCATTGTTTTTAAACACATATATATATAATTTATATGGTATGGATTTCTAGTCATAGAATTTCTATCTGCAAGGGTATTTAAACTTCGGCGGGCCGAAGTTAGCTTCCTTTCTTGTTAATTCTGAATTCAACCGTAAATAAACAATTTGGGAAAGTTTCACGGATGAATATGTGTTTTACGGGTGAATTCCTGGAATGAATGCATACGTCTTCTTCATTTTTCATGCTTGAATTCAGGGGTGAATAACATTTATATGTTAATCATGGGCTTTCTCAGCTAATTTCCATTAACAATTAATTTATGACTTTAACAAAATAGGAGTAGCAAGCTTTCTTTACTTTTTCGAAGTCTTCAAGTAACAAAAGGCTTTAATTTTTGCTCTCTTAAAAATTTAGAGCTTATATTCCACATTTGTCACAATTTATTCAACAAATGTTAACTTTAAGCTCATAAACCAATTACGAAAACAAAAGCAAGGAAGTAAAAACCCCATTGCAAATTTGGCTTACAACTTTACACACCATTGTCACTAGATATTTGTTAACAACTGTCCACTTCGCATAGCAGCTAATTGTGGGCCTGTTAGCACCTGTTTGAGTCACTTATTTGCGCCTGAATTATTCATCAAAACGAAACGATACTGAAACCGAAAATTAAAGCCAAGTGTATCCAAGTGTGTTGTTAGAGTCAACTCTCCGCTTTCCTGTTGACCTTGCCGGCCGCCAATCGATCGATGGATCGTGGATCAAGCGGATTCCGGAGCTGAAAGCAATCGATGGGGCTGGAATTCGGTCTGGGGACTGGGTTAACCTTAGGAGACACCTCAACCCAGTGTGTTGATTTTTTTTTGATTGGGACAAATTGCGCACAAACACACCGCGCACACCTCAAACCAATTTTGGGCCCAAAGTGTTACTCAACGACTGAGAGCGGCGCGGTAACGGTGCATGGCCAAATGGCCAAAACGGTTCGGAGAGTGAGCTGTTTCTCGCTTGTGCGCGGCTTTATGTTAACTTGACATTCGGCCAAGTCAAATTGTAAACTGTTTTTTTTTCTGTCTGCTTGGCTGGCTGCCATTAAAGTGCAATTAAAGCCAATTTTTTGTTGCTGTTGTTAGCCAGAGCAGAGATTTACACTGGAACAAACTTGGTAATAGGAAATATATCAGGGACTTTATAATAAAGTCTTTTAAAAGGGTTTTTTGCTTTTGTATGGGTATTTTAGATGCTTCTGTTTATTGAATCTTAATATTAATATATTTTTATAGTATTTCTTTAAGACTGACTGAAACTCCCCACTCACCTGTAGACGGAATCATCGTACACCAGGAGTATGCGCAGCTGCTGCTCGGCGGCTATGCTGCGCCTGCGCACGCTATGCCTGGCTGAATCCGTATCTCCGGCGGCGTCATCATCGCCATCAGCCAGTTGGATGCGCACGCCATGGACGACCTATAAAACGGGGAGATGGACAAATGATGAGATATTTGTTGCAGATAGTTAAGGCAGGGAAAGGAAATGCTGAGGAAAGGGAGAGTGTGAGCGGTGGGGAAATCAAGAAATCACTCAACGGAGCTTAAACGAAAGCGAAATTTTTTCGTTGTTAACTATTAAATGACGACATCTAGTCAGACAAAGGCCACACAATAGTAACATAAAATGGCAGCTACACGACGGTAATTGGTCCGTACAAATTGCAGGGAAATTAATTTTAAATTGCCCGCCAAAATGTCGAACGATTGGCACATCGAAATGTCAATGATTTGGCAGGCCAAGCTTATTATTTTGTTTTATTTTTCGGGGTTTTTCGGCATTAATTCGTCCCATTGTTTTGTGGCTCGCATTGTGCAATGTGTGCCAATTATTAGGAATAAATTAGATATCTTTGTTGAATATGCATGGCGGCCTTTGGATGCTGCACAGATAGATGATCTGATGACAGTCAGACAGACGAGCAGACAGGCAGAGCACTTGACACTCATCAGCATAAATTTGTCGTCTGAGACGTCTCAACATCTCGCAGATAATACGCTCGAGTGCGGATAAAATATGCTAAAAATATGCTGCCAAATACACTTATCAATTGTGAACATTAAAGGTTGTATGCCCTGCCTCCTCTCTAGAGCATAAAATGCTCTTAAAAGGCTCTTTCCAGGGTTTGCTAGGCTGTCAAATTAGCTAATCAAATTGGCAAATTTTCATGGCAGTAATTGAAGATAATTTCGGGGATATTCAGGATATCTTTTCTACGAATCTTAGGCTTTGTTTGATAGGAAATATCTTGTAGTAAATATTTGAGAGATTTTTTAAACAGAAACCAAGGCTGCAATATATGGCTTAAAACTTAAATTTAATTATTCAAACATTATTAATTTTCCATGCTATCATTATCTTTTCCTGGATCCCTAAAAGGCAACACTGAAGGGTAGGTTTTCTTGCCATAAAAGTACAAGTACAAGTATCTTGGAAATGTAAAAATAAAGAGCAATCATCAAAAGAGTACCTAGATACAAACATTTATATACATATATATAAAGCCCAGACAGCTTCGACAAAGGCAATGGAAATGATAATAAAGCTAATTTGCACACAAGAACTGAATTGGCAGACAGCTTAGTCGCCTTAATTGATGGAGCACCATGTGTCCCTGCTTCGCCTCGAAGGCGATGTCGTCGTGGGAAGTGGTTATCGAGGTGTTCTCACTATATAAGTAGACTCTGTAACTGTTGGCTAAATGGCAATCCAAGACACCTGCACGACCGTACCGGGTGTAAAAATTCCTATTTATCCAAGAACAACAATAGTTGTGGCAATCGCTTGATCTGACAAAAGAGTTTGGCATTGAAATGAGCTGAGCAAACAGCGGCGTGGCGGTGGTTCCAGCGAATTGCCGGGGTACTACTCCAAGCTCTGAGATTTATCTTGAATCCATCATCAAAGTCATCGAAGCTCTAATGACTTGGGATCAGCAGTGCACGGGAAAACAATAAAACATGACATGACTATATCGGTTTGTAGTCATTTCATTGATTTCCAAATGTCATTGTTTACATTTAAACAATATTTTTTTTGTCAAGTAAATTAAGACCAAAAGTTAATTTTGGGTTTACCAAAATAATATTGTAATTAAACAAGTAAATTTGGGTATCAAAATGTAATTAACAACATTTACTTTACCTTTACTATGGGTAAAGATCAATCTATTGTGCCTTGATAATGTGCCATATCATTTCCGAGATGTCATCCCCTCTGGGACAACGCCCTGTTTCCACCATCTGGCGTTGAGATAAGTAATCTAAGCTCAGGCCATCAAAGAGTCGCATCTGGGTCCCAAAGCCGGCAATAATCGTGACAACGACCCTCGAAAAAAACATATATGTATAAGCAACATAATGTACGATCTTCACATTGATCGTGCCCAACTTGGAGGAGCTTTATCCTCGTCTTGGAGCATAGACGCCCCTCCTCTGCGGTCGAGTGCATTGAAGAAACGCTTGAAAAACCGCACAAATTACAAATCATCTGCGAAACGTTTGGCAGGTGAAAGATGATGACGCACAATGGTATTTAGACGGGCTGCGTTTGCTGTCAACATCGGATGCTGGTGTCTTATGGATACTATATAGCGGTGTCAATATCTTTTGCGGCATTAATGCAACCCAAATGCATTGTGATGTGAACCGTTAAACACTGAGTGACTGCATTCATTAATAGGCCCCAATACTTTTACAATGGCCAACTTTGACATTTATTGCAGCATCATTAGTCACGAAAAATGCAGTTAATTGATTTTTTAATGATTAAAAATCATATTCGGGACATGGGAGATTTAATTGTGAATGTTACAGCAAACATGGCTAACTTTGCATGCTTAATTTAGTTTAGCAAATTTTGCAATATACAATATTGTATACTTTGCAAGCTAAAAATAAAGTCTATCAATATGTATCAAGTATACCCAAGTTTAAAATAGATTATAAATTATATTAAGTTGTCTATAATATAATACTGTGGTTTAAATCGATATTGCTTGTTAAATACTCGTGTCTTTTTATAATTGGGACTATTAAAAATATATTTAGTATTCAAATAACATGGCTCATCAGTTAAATATAAGCTAAAGTTCCAGTATAAAACGGTAGAATGAACAGGTCGCAACTGTTTTATATCTACCTGTTCTGTTTGAACAACATCGGTTCTAATCATGTGGGTTTAAATATTTTAGCATGGAAAATTTAGCAGTAAAAAGAATATATTTTTAAAGGGTTACTACAAATTCAATTCCCTGAGATGTGATCTTTATGATCCCGAACTGGCTGACATCAAGCAGTGTCTCATCAAGGCCATCGATCGAAAGCACAATATGATTAACATTGAAGCATTGCTAAATAAAAGCATTTTAGAGGTATATAATGAAGGAAATATTTCTTTAAAGCACTTGTATTCATACATATTACAGTTAAAGATCCATTTTAAAGTAGTTAAACGAGAGAGAGGCGGTTGGCATCCATTTTTGTACGACATGACTGTGGACGTTTGCAAATTCTTCAGGAACCGCAAGAAGTTTTTTGTTACAAATTTTCTATACACGTTTTTAGAGCCATTCACAAATATCAATCGCACCTGTCCATATTTGGTGAGTAGCGCTCTGTTTGTGAATTGCCATTCGATAATAAATTATTTCATTGCCATTTTGCTGAAGGCCGGCACTGAGATGCGTCTTTGGCAATGGACCCCAGACGAAGATGGATTCTTGGCCAAACTGCCAATGGATCATGGACAATATGGTTTACACAGCACTTGGTATATCAACAAGAGTACAGTATTGCAAATCAATGGTTCAATTTTATTTTTTCAGTGATGTACCAGCATAATATAATATATAACTTATATTAATTCAGTTTAATTCAATTGAAAATATGTCATTTATTGGGAAAATCATCATTAAAAAGTAGTTACAAACCCTTAAAAAGTAATTAGGGAACTGCACTAAAATGGCTTACACTGGGCTTATAGCACAACATTTCAGTTTTAAACGGAGTGATGACCAGGTCACAGCGGATATATTTATATTTATTTTGGGTGAATACATTTGGCTATTATCATGTGAGTAAGCTTTCTTAGAATTTGTGTTTTCTTTTTAAAGAGAAAATTGGTAAGAGAAAGGTTACCTGGCGTGTCATTAAAAACAACTTTTATTAAAATCGATTTCTTTGATTTATAATTGTATAAAATCAGAGCTACCTTCAAATGCTTATGTCATCACAAATTATAAACAATTAAAATGAAATTAAAAAACCCAACTATTATGGATTACGGAACACACCAAAATTTAATAATAAAGAAAACCATGACTGAATAACTATATTAAATAATTCTCTTAAAAAACGAATCTCTGGATTAAAACTACATTTCTCTCAAGGTCAGCGGTTCCTATAAATTTAATGCCCTTTCTTGTGATCTTTGTGCCCCGGAATTGGCTTTCGTTAAACAGTGCAACATCAAAGCAATCGATCGAAAACATAATATGATTAATATAGAAGCCTTTTTAAATAAAACTATATCAGAGGTAATGCAAGAACAGTAAAGAACAATTTACTTTATGTTTAAAATAATCCCTATTCCAGTTTTCAATCCATTTCATAATGGTTAAACGCGAAAGTGGCGGCTGGCATCCATTTATGTATAATATAAAAATGGATATTTGCAAATATTTTAAAAATCCCAGAAAGTTTTTCATTCCAAATCTAATATATTCATTCATTAAGCCTTTTACAAATGTCAATCACAGCTGCCCATATGAGGTAGGTTTATAATACATCTCATATTTAATTTAAAATATAATATATATTTTATTAGGCTGGCTCTTACATGAGTCTTCTTCGTTGGTCTCCGAATGAAGAAAGTGTTCTAGCCAAGTTTCCGGTAGATCATGGACAATATGGCCTACATACCACTTGGTATATCAACAAAATTAGTGCATTACAAATTAATGGTTCTGTCTTGTTTTTCAAGTGAACAAATTATTAAATTACGAGTTGGACCGCTGATGAAGTTGTATTTTATTCTTAAGTTCCCATAGATTAATTTCAACACTTAATGACATCACTGCCCTGGGTGGACATGATCCAGTTTACCATATTTTTTGTTATTTTGGCCACACTTTCTAACCATGCCGGTGGCATGCACATGGGCTTATTCAATCGTTGATAAGACGTAATGCCCAACCGGCTTGCATACTAACACAGATTCAAAGGGGGGAGCTAACAAATTTTTTCGGTTTGTGGGCCACATTCGAGCGTGTCCAGCGTTTTGGCCATGCGACTCACGTTTAAGGCAGAAATGGTAACAATTCGAAGAGGCTAAAACGCGAATAAAAAAAGCGCAAACCGCCCAAAGAAAAGCGAGGAGAAATGTTTGCTGTTGGCCACAGTTGGCTGCGCCTGCGCCCGCCTGATCACCACCTCCCGTATTTACTTTTAAAGCAAACAAATAAGTGGTAGCAAAACCCACAGAAATGGTGGTGGCATTTTTGGCTTAAAAAACAAGCTAACCTCTGTATAAAAAAGATTAAAAATAAAAGCGAAGTATCTCTTAAACAAAGGAATTAATTGTAAGGAACCTGATAAGTCACTACTTAAGTTAATCACATTTTTGGGAAGTAAATCAAAAGGATATATGACAACAAGAAAGGAAACTGTCATCGAGAAGGACTGAATCTGGAATCGATAATAACTAAGCTTTAAATATTTGAATTTTTTTAATAAATATTTAATGATATATTTATATGCCAATTATTTCGACAAATCAAAGTTTAAAAAACTCATAACTAAGACAAAAATGTAATAATTTCAATTCGAAAAGCTGTCCTATGCTAGTTTTTATTAGATTAATAATAATAATAATTAATAATAATTTAAAATTTTAAAAAATTCAAATTTTTGGCAATTTTAACGATCTTTTTTTGAAAAAATTGAAAAAATTTCGAAATTTTACTTTTTGACCAGACATGACTAGATCGATTCGGCTTTCGATTCTGATCAATAATATATATGATTCATAGGGTCGGAAATGACTCCTTTATCAAGTTTCAAACTTCTGAATGAAATAATACCCTTTCAAAGGGTATAAAGATATCTCAAAATACTAGCTAAATTGGTAACACTATTTGGCTAACTGGATGCCACGCACTTTGGCTGGGATTACGAAGTGCCAACGCGTTTGACTTGGTTTGGTTCGGCTTGTCCAGTTGCGCATGCTAATTTGGGTGCGGGAATCGATCATCGATGGCGGTTGAGTAATTATTTACGAGTGTCTCTGACTTGGAGGCAGTCACTCCATTCATTCCGTCCGCCAGTCGCATTTCTGCGTCTTCATGCCACTCTTTTACACTCTCTTCCGCACAACAATGTTGCACAGAAAATAAAAATGAAACATAATTATTTTACGGTTGGGAAAATTTCCAGCATTAAAATCAAGATTGTAAAATCGGAAAGAGGTAAATTGAGAGAGAAAAATAAAATATTTTATGATCATTTTGTGGGATAATTAACACTATTTTGTAGATTTTTATTGGGATAATAAAGGAATAAATCATGTTTCAATGTCAGCAAATATTTTGCAAACAAATCTTTGTTTTTAATTCAAAGTTGTACTCAAAACATATTTTATTTGCTTTTGAAAAGCTTGTAAGAAATAATTAATTGTTGATGTATCATGAATTTGTGGAATATAAATCAATCAATCGTTTTATCAGATTTAATTTAAGCAATGCAGCGGCATTGATTTAAATATAATAAATATTCATGGTGTCATGGAATCAAAATAACAAAGGCATTTGCATGGTGTTGTATTGTGTTGATATTAAATAATATAGTCAGCCCTGTTTTAATTTTGAATAACCTAATTTAAGATTAGCAGCAAATGATTTCTTTGACCTTGATTTTAGGTATTGGGTATTTCCAGATTTTTTAAATATTAATTATATATGTATATGTAATGAAACATCATATTCATATGCGAAACATTGAAAAAAAGCAAGAAATATTTACATGGTTTCAAGGGGATATGAAATGTAAATTATTAAATAAATAACCCTTTTTTCAGTGTATTTTTCGAGTGCTCCTCAGCTGACTGTCACCTGCGTTCAACGCTCGCTCAAGTTCGGCAGATCAATCGAAGTTGTGGCTTTCAATCGAACATTTGCTTTCGGGGCTTTCACTTTCCTTTGGGGCCGAGACTCACTCTCACTCTTGGATTCTCTGGTGCCGCTCTGTTGCTCATTTCAATCTCTTCTTTTGCTCTTATTTATTATTATTTTTCCACTTTTTGTTGTAATATTTAGTGAGGCGGGTTTGAGCCGAAGGCTATTTTGCATGCTGCGCCAGTTTTGTGGCGCTTTATTGGCTCTCCGTCTGTCTGTCCGTCTCTGAGTCATCTGAATACTGATTATTTTTACTCAATTCGTTCGTTACCTCACAGTTTGACCGCAAAACAACGAAAAAAGGAGGCTATACGTATTACCTAATTGAAAATATGAACTGCAGCTAATCTGAGGCACTTGAGCAGCACTAGATGATCACCGGGATCAGGCTGGGATCAGTCCGGAAAATCAGCAGCTTTTCAAGTGGCACAACTTACGCCGTAAACTCACTCAGATGTATTCAATTGACATGATGGCAGGCCAGTAATTGAATAATTGCATTAACTGGAACTAAAAAGTGTCATATATACAGCTCGCAATAAAAATGGTGAAATTCCAGATAATTCAGCTGGAAAATTCCTATTAATTTATTTTTATATTCAATTAAATTAATCTGTAGCACCGAGTGTTTTTCCCAGTTACAAGGAACACACGTGGCATAATAGAAATTATTCATTATAAAGCTAACAAATGCAGAAATACTATTTTTAGTGAGAATCAAATCTATCAAGTCCTCTTGCAAATGTATAAATGATGCGTTTATAAATAAACATAATACACATAAATGTGTAAATTAATGTTTAGAGAAATTCCCAGAATGTATAAGGTTATTGAACACCTTGTTTAATTCCTAGAATTTGCACCTGCACAGAATCTTTTAATGCAACTTAGGCCAGCTTAAGCCATCCCACAAACCTTTCTATAAATAAATCATTTAAAATAGAAAAGCCAAACTTAATACTTCATTTCTGGACGTTGACGTGGGCAGGGCTTATAATACAATTTGCTTCAGCGAATGAAACAATGCCTAATTAGTTTGTAATTGAATTAAGAGGCACGTTCTGCTCAGTCCATTGAATTCACAAACTGCAAATGGCACGTTGTACATCATGACAGTGAAATTTAATCCTGTTTGTAGTTGATGATGCCAAAGATTGGAAAACAAGTGCAGTGGGTTTAGTAAGGGATTAAAGAGAAAATTGTAAAGGTTTGAAAAACAGCACGAAGCTTAGTTTTCTGCTAAATTTATATTAAATATAAGGTTAATAACTAATAAATAATTTCCTAAAGTAAACAGCAAACAAGGCTTGCTTTTTACTTATAAGAACATGACTTTCCTAATCAATTTATTTATTTAAAATGTGGCTTAGTTTCCAAAACTAGAACCTTTAGTTGTACAAATTGCTCCACTGTTCGTAGTACACAAGTCTTAAAGCGATTATGCAAGGACCCCGCCCACTTCCATTTTAACCCATGAGCTCCTCTTCCTGATGAAGACACTTGTTTGAAGCGTTGAAAAGCGTTTCGTTTAATGGCCCTGAAGCGGCATTCGTCAGTCAGTCAGGCAGGCAACGTTGCATTGCATTTGGCACTCGGATCAAAAACGTGTTTCCTCCAACTCACAGCAGGGAGATAAATTCCAGATTTTTGCTAGCCGGCTAATATGTCTAGCCATTTGTCTATTTGCGGCTATTACCTCCGCTACGTAGTTGGCAATGGCGAAGTAGCCATGGTAACAACTCCTATTGCTCATATTAGCTACCTGCCTGCCTGCCGCTGTTGCTTTCAGCATTTTTAATTGAATGAAAAATACTGAAGGCAGCTGCGATTGCTTTAGTTATGAGCAAGCTCACTTTCTAGTAATTAATGCCAGAGTAAATAACATTTCCTGAGTGGCACAGCTTTTTTGTGTTAATAAACAACAATGCATAAGTTCTTAAACTAAAAGATTTACATTAAACAAAGCTTTGCATCTAAAGATATTTCGATATTATATTTCCTATTAAACTAATTATAATGTTTAGCTAAAATTTCCCAGAGCTCTGTTTATTATTAATTTTAAATTGATTAGTGGAAAACCCATGGCTCCTTTTCAATTTAACTTTTTTAATTGCTGGATTCGTTGAATGGAAATTCAATACAATCGTAAGGCTGCAATCAAATCGAAGAACATAAATCAAATCAAATCAAATCAGGACAATTCTTTGAATGCCACAGCAGCGAAAAAAAATCAAATTTCAAATTGTATGTAAATTTGCCATTACGAAGGAATATCTGTACTTGAGTGGCTGCAACTGAAGCTGCGTAACTGAAACTCCGTAATTCGCCAATTACGCTTGCAATCCAATCATTTGGGTTGTCAGTCACCGAATTATCCACCTTCGCAAAGATAAAAAAAAACCGGAAAATCCTCCTTCGTTTCCCCTTTCTTTATTCAGCATTTTTCCCTGCAAAAGGAAAATGCTTTAAAGTTTTGTGAATGGTTTCTGCGTTGACTCTGTCGCAACTTTTGTTTTTTTTTTTTGTATATTTATTATTTCTTCTACCTAGCAACTTGTTTGTTCAAAGTTTTGTTCCTCAAGTTGATAAATATTTAATCGTGAGGAATGGATGGGGGAACAACTGCTGCGGCATGGATAGACGGCTATCCACTTTAAATACAAATGGAAATACATGTTTGCAAAACAAATCGTTGATATGAAGGCATTTGCATTTCGCGTAAAAGGTTCCCATCGGATTGCAGTCCCTGAAGATTATGATTTGCCACTAAAGAACAATGATTGAGTCTATTGAAATGTTGCAATCGTCTAAACATTGATAAAAAGATCAAGAAATCTTTATTTGAAAGAAGAAAAACCAACCCAAAGAATAATTCCATATCAAAAAATTACAATCCACTTTATCTAGTGAATTGGCTTTGCCACAATTTTCTTTAAAATCTAGGTAAAACAGCCACAAAATTATATAGAATTAACATTTTAGTATTACAGCTCTAGAAAATATTAATTTTAACCAACAGTTTTTTTTTCTAAAAATAAATAAAAACCAAACTCATTTGCATTCACCTGCATTTTATGTTTTTTTCGCCACATTTTTTGGTTTGGTTTGGTCTGTAGTAAACTTTGTAATTAACGAATTTTTTAGCGAGAACCTAACACCCTAAATCCTTTAATAGGAAATCCTGCTGCTGGGGTGCAAAAGCGTAATGAGAGTACAAAGTTAATTTACGCTTTTTAAAAGTTTCAACGAAATTCTGTTGTTTAGAGTGCTCTCCAGTTGCGCGTTTATCTACTCATCCGATAAGTACCAAATTGCACATTTGTAAAGTTTGAAAATAATATAATGTAAAAGTTTTAAATAATGTAAAAATTAGCATGCTACAAGGAATTTGATGTTTGCTATGTTATTAAAAAAGTGTACATTTTAACCACATTTTGCGAGTACTAAAACTAATTTCTTCCAACTGTAATCATTTTAGAGGTTTAATAAACAAGAGAAATGAATATATCTTTATGATAATATTCATTATTATTTCTGGATGTGATTTTAAAAAGCATTTCAATTATTACTACATTCTTAAATACAAAAAACGATCTCAAATATATAACTTAATAAAAGAACCCCTGAAGCTTTTTCAGTTCATCCCTGCTTAAGTTTTAACACTCATTTTAAGCTGTCAACAATTTGGAGGTTCCAACGAATTTCCTTTTTTAATTTTGAAGTGCCCTTTGGACCTGCGTTTATCCGCTTAGTATCCGGTCAGTACAGTCCACGACATCGCTGTCAGTCCAGCGCTACACGCACACTGGCAACGTGACAAATGATTCAATTCGGGGCTTTTTTTACACAATACTTTTTTTCGCTGCTTTCTTCAATTTATATAAGTCTAATTAGAATTGAGTGCCCCGGCATCAACTGGACCGGTATCAGCGGGGGATTTTAGAGGTTACCAGAGTGCAAATCGGTCACTGGACTCGCTGCCCGCATTTATTTACTCATTTACTCCCATCTGTTTGCGACAGGATGAGTTTGAGAGGCGGTGGGCAGAAATTTATCCTCGAAATGGAGACACAATCTGGCGGATTGTTTTCATGTTTTTCTGTTTTTGCTTTTGCACTTACAGCAGTTTAAGTTACAGATAATTCAATTAATTACACGCCAGGCGACCTCGACGGCATCGTTAGCTATCGACAGACGACAGTCGCTGAATTAATTTTCCCCTTCCCGCCTGAGCTCACTTTTACTTGCGGAAAAGGGGGGAAAACCAAAGTGGCTACTCGCTAATTAAGACTCTCTGTCTAAAGGCAGTTTATCCACAACTTTAAGGGTGTTTAATTATTCGTAAAGTGGGAGAAACAAATGCAATTTGTATGTCTTGGCTTTTAAAATATAAATTATTCCGCATGTCTTGAATTTCCTTTGAATAAAAAACCTCATAATTTATTTCTCCATTAAAGATATATTCTAATATTTAATGCAACAAGTTTCGCAGTTCCCTGACACTTTATGTTCCCGAGAATCTATAAGAAGCCTCAGGTAAAAGCTTTTTTTAGGTGAACAAATTATTTTTCTTCTCCGAAATACTAACAGATTGAAAAGTATCCCAAGGATGACAAGTTACTGGTTTCCCAGAAGCCAAGCTTTTCCTACATTTTTCCACGTACAAAAATTAATAAAATATACAAGTAACAAGTTTCCATCTTTTGCCAACGATAACTTTTCAAGGACGGCAAGTTTCTTAATTCAGAGAATTAAAAGTGTCCTGTGAAAGGGCAATGAAATTGAAAAAGATTTTTCCTTGAACGAAAGATGACTTTGTGGAAATTTTGTAACTACGCTGGGGGAACGACTGTACTCGGCGCGGCAGTAATCATGTAAATTCCCCCCCTTTTTTTGCGCAATTGACTGCGACCTTTATTTGTGGCGACGCGCCAATTAAAATGCCGTTGATTGGAAAGCAGGCAAGATATAAGGAAAAATCCCCTCCACCCGGCAAACTCGGTAAAAAAAAAACCAGTAAACTCGACCAAGACAAAGTGAGAACGGAGCAACAAGTTGGCGGACAGTGTCTGACATTAAACCCTAACTAGACCAGTGTATCGTGGTGGCTGCAGGTGGAGGCGGTTTGGTAACCACTGGTTGCCATGTTGGCAGTTACCTGTTACCACTGTTACCAGGTAATACCCATCGGCAAACCAACCACATTGCATAGACTGAATCCGAGTCGGAATCTTGAATGCGCATATGATTATCCGGTGGAATTAGTCAATAAGCTGCGGTTGCCATTGCCTCGGTATTGTTTCTGTTTCTGTTTTATGATTTCTTGATTCAATTTCAGTTTCTATTTCTATATTATTTTCTGTTTTCTTGCTTTTCATGAGAACGGTAATTTCCACTGCTCAGTGTCCTAATTCCGCACTAATTAGGCCGTTCCCCGAAAGCGCCAATCAATTATAAATTTCCTGTGAAGCCAGGACCAATTAGGAGCTTGCTCTAATGAGCACAAAAGGAAACACACAAATAGAGAAGGGACACCGGGCCTAGGACCAAAAATTCAAGCGCCCAAAGCATCAGTTTTGACACTTTTCTAATGGGAAATGTGTCAATCGGAAAAAACATGCTCTTACAGGTGTTTTCACTTGGCCCAGAGCGTGTTGTACAAATAACATCAATGTAACATTTAATTAAATGTACAATGGAATCTATAAATCATATTTTTGGGATATTTTCAGGGATATTCATAGTAACTTTTAAATGGCAAATAATGGTAATAAAGTTAGCTTAAATGCATAGAGGGTCTTGGTTTGAAATAAAGGTAAAAGGTTACTTCATTTTTACCTAGATTTCCAGCACATTTTATTTCGGCTTAATCATAATATTTAGCCAAATTTAATTTTACAAAAAATAAAAAAAGATACCTCTTCTATAGTTAAATCAACATATCAAGTACACGTAAATATGTACAAAACTAAGGTATAAGAACCTTTTATCGTTACTTCATTTAATATTTTCGTGAATGAAATGAATGCAGGAACTTGTAAACAAAAATCGATTTTGCGGCTAAATGCCCTTACATTGTTTTGTACATGTGTGAAGTTCAAGGATATGATGTTCTCTGAATTTACCATTGAATTAAGGCATTTCAATGCGAGCTTTTATTACATTCCTAAGCTTTTTAGTAAAGTCTTGGTGAATATTGAAATGCTATTTAATAATGATTTATATCCTCTTACTATATATTATAGTTTCTGCCTTCTATTGATGGTGTATTATAACATTTTGTGGCTTCAATTTCCAATAAAATATGTGGGGGTTCAAGGCCAAGGGCCTTTCAGAAAATATATTTCCTACTTTCCCAATCATGATTAAATTTGCTGCAGTCATGTTACAGCACTTAATCCCTTTATAAAAATTAATTTACTGAATATAGTTGCGGTTGCGAATGCTATACATTTATGTATTATTTTGCCAGGTGAGCAAAGGTCTTGACATTTTGGCATCATCATCTATCCAGGTTCTGAAATAGCCATTACCCAGATTTGTTTTTGTTTGCCAATTCGTTTGTTGTTGTTGCCAGGCAACAAATATGGAACACATAAACTAATAGGAAATGTGGAATGGCGAAGTTTGTATACTCTTGCAGTTGTATTAAAATTAATTTTTTGAGAGTTGGCTATGGGATATTTTGGTATAATTTAAGTTAAATTGAGGTCTAGGAGTGATTTTAATTTCTATTTAATTTGTAAAGACCCTAATTTAACCTTTTATATATAATATAATGATATTTAATTACATTACGATATTTAATTATCTCTCCCTTATGCTCAAAAGCTAAAATTTGTTATTGATTTTCAGATTTAATGAAACTATATAGAATGTGGTATAAATTATGCCTAAGTTGAACGCTTTCAACCAGCTTATTTTAGAACTAAAAGACTTGATCAATGCGTCTGATGATCCTGATTAATAATTATAAAGTTCTTTTGGTATATAGGGTATTTTTCTAACTGACATTTAATATAATACATTCATGAAGGATCTGTATACTGATGGACTCCAGGACTCACCTCATGGGCCTTGGGATGCTGGTGCTGACAGTTGTGAGCGGTGGCCGAAACGGCCAGCCAAAGGCAGATGCCAAGGGCTGCCAGGAATTTGGCCATGTTGAGCGGGGGAATCAGCGCAGGTGATGGTGGTGGCGGTGCTGAAGGTGGGCTTTTGGCCATATTTCGATTTGCTAATTACACGATATTACTGAGCATGGTTATGGTTATTTTATTCACCAAAACAGATGGCTGTTACAGACGAATTCTCTGATTTATTTCGAGTTGTACATTCTTTGTTTACTTTCGCGCTGTTTGCTCTTGTTTGCCTTTGTTTGCTTTGTCAATTAACTCGCGCGAAACCGGCTCGAATCCCTCGCACACACACACACACACACGCAGAGAGAGGCACGCTCACACCAACACACAGGCGGTGGACTACTTCTTGTTTGTTGCTGTTTCTGTTTCTTTTTTCGGGTGGGTGTGTCCGCAAATCTTAGCCCACGCCAAAAACTACAACAACAACAACAACAAAAGCGAACCCAAACATAAACACCAAACCCAAAACACCAATCGAAAAGTGCAACTCTCGCGGAGTAAATGTCAAATTCTCATGAACTCATGTGTGCATTCTGGCAGGGCTCGCGGGTCGCCGGCACATTCACATCCTTTTGGACACAATGGACACCAAATATCCGGGATATTTGTGGGTTTTCATTCACAAAAACGATGCCGAAAACACTCGCAAATTAGGGGTGTGCGTTGTGTGTTGATGGGGGGGACGGGGGTGGACAACAAACGGTGAAAAATAGCGCAGGTAACGCGGCGTCTTTTCCTTTCGAAACTTTTTTTTTTCGAATTCGAATTTGAATCTTGCACCCGTATTTATAGGTTTGTACAAGAGCCGAGCAGAGCCGATTGGCAACCGACAGCGAATCAGCTGACTTGTAGTGCTTTTCAACACTTGGCGATAGATTTCTTTTTACTCACTTTTCGTCGTTACGAACACTAAATTTTCGCGGCAAATTCAAAGATGAAAATCTGTCAATATTTTGCATTACTGGCTCTAAAAAATTTGGTGCAAGAAAGTTTTATAAAAAATGTAAGAAACCCCAAAAGTAGGTGGTGAAGAGGAAAAATACCATATTTTTACAATTAAGGCACAACCATGCAAAATATAAATATATGAGGGAATAAATTTCTGAATACTACTTATATATACTTAAATTTAATCTTCTTTGGTATTGCCTTAAGAATTTATTGTAGTAAGTCGCATTTTTATGAATGAATCTTTTAGTTTTCCAAAATTCTGCAAAATCGCACAGTAGGAGGACATTGTTTTTCAAGGCAATATTAAGGGAAATCAAATCACTTTTTAGGCAATGTAAATTGTTGTGTTATGCTAATAATATGGTATACTAGCATTTAAACACATTCAGGAGTCTTCTAAAATAAATAAATGTTTGAATTACTGAAAATATGTGCTATTTATCGCAATACATAGCCATGTAAGCGTGTAAAATTATAAATTAAAATGCGTGTAAAATGTAAAATATTAATTTACAGATTTTCTAGCGAGAAAATAGAAAGGCTTTGCGCTTGAACTTGTGGTAAAATATGTTGCCGCGGCATAGCTGTTTGTGATCGCTCCCTGCTATGTTCATCTGATTCTGTTAATCGTATGAGTATTTTATTTATGTTATCATTCTCTTTATTCTGTGATCGAGTTGCCCTGTCAATGCATATTATTTTACATATAACATCCCAATTGGGAACTTTACAGAATGTATGAGAATTCGACTCCATTTGTAAAATTTTATCTAGACGTGTAAAATGTAAAATGTTAAGTAACCGGCTCCGAATTTAGAGTGACCAACAGAAAGATATTGAAAAATACAAAACATAATATAGCATTTAATATGTGGCCACTCGAAAAACCGTGCACTTAGTTGTTGGATTTTCTCGGCTCAAGTCGTCCGTGTTTTCCGTGAAAAACAAAAACCGTTCGGAAAATTCAGCTCGTAAGAGCGTCGCGGTGCTGCCTTTGTGTGTGTGAGTGCGTGTGTGTTTTGTGGCGTTTTGTGTTAAATAAATTGAATTAAAGGCCCTCCCGAAAATAAGTGCAAAACTGGCCACGCTCTAAATTGTGTTTATGTCCCACTAATTTATATGCCAAGTGATAAGGGAGAGGGGAAATCTACGAAAAATTCCAATACGAAAAGGCAACAAAAAAGTTCTGCACAGCAGGGCGAAGCGAGTGGGGCGGGCGACAAAAGGAGAGGGAGACGAGATAGCAAAACAGAACACAAAGATTTTCCCTCTTGTTTATTTACGCGCGTGATTTTGTTGTTGTTTTGATCGGTAGCCGTGCAAGTTGTTGTTGTGATATCCAACCGGTGTTTTTCGGTGCAACTTCCCCCTCGTCCCCCACATCTCCCCAGCCACGCATCCTGTTTGTATAAAGCGGGAAGAAAAATAAAATTATCTCTTGGAACGCACAAAAAAATGCAGCAGGAAGTGTGATGTCACCGCATTGGCCCCGCGCTCCAGCAACAACAATATTAAGATCTACCATTATCGCCAACAACAAAAGCAAATATCGCCCCACAACAACAACAGCAGCAACAACAAGATGAAGATGCAGTTGCACTTTGTGCGTTTGTTGTTGCCACCGCTGCTACTGCTGCTGCTGCTCAACACATGTTTGCAAAACATTCAGCCAGCGGAAGCGACAAAAGGTGAGTTTTTCATTTTATGCAGGATAAAACTTTAATTTTTAAATTCAAAGAATCGTTGTTATTTCAAGCAAGCAAGATTGCGTTTTGGTGAACAAATTCTGGTTACCAAAGCAAAAGTTTTGTCTAACGTCAAGTGTTTGTTAATAAAATATTATAAAAATAATAGATTTTGGCATAAATTTTTCTGTATTATATTTTAAAAAATTTTTGAGAGAAGATATTAATACCCATGCAGGGTCTTATAATTTTAGTTAGAAGCTTGTTACGCTGTGAAGGAATCATTTCCGACCCTATAAATCATATATATTCTTGATCAGCATCAACAGGGGAGTCGATCTAGCCATATTTTAAAGGAAAAAAATGTATGAAATTTTTTTCAAAATTTTATAAGGGGTAATCGTTAAAATTGTCAAAAATAGGCAAAAAATTGAATTTTTAAAATTTTTAAATTGAGTATGCAGATTTGTTAGTCTAATTAAAACTAACATAAGAACGGTTTCTGAATTGAAATTAATGCTTTTTTGGCTTAGTTATGAGTTTTGAAACTTTGAGTTTTTGACAACATTTGCATATAAAAATATCAATAAATAAATCGACCCTATAATTCAATTTTAAAGCTATTTTAATTTTTTATTTCATAAAAATTTATGGCAACAATAAACTGAAGTATTTTCTCTATTGTTTTTATATTTTATTAAATTCTCAAATATATGACAGATGGCAATCAATTAGTGTAGTGGTTTTTTGTTTAGAAGAGATCTAAAAAGAAATATCGCCAGATGCCAATGCCAAACATTATCTATAATTATGCATATTTAATATTAACCCCATAAAAATAAGGGGTGTCACAGAAAATCCTAAGTAATGAGGGAGTATATTTTGCATTAAAATGTTATTGATTTGATTTTAACAGAAAGATAATAAAAAGACACTACGTACACTTTAAAAATATATATCAAGTATTTTAAAATATAGCTGTATAAATTTAAATCATATTCTTAGACTGCTGGGTATTAAATTCTGGCTCTTTCTGCTCACAATTTGTTTATTCTGTTTAGTTTCTTGCAACTTAAATCGAGTTTTTTACCTAATCAAGTTCACAAAAACACTGACGCACAAGTACAGTGGGTAGAATAGAAAAAACTTAAACCCAAGAATGTGTTAATTTTATTTGGCCAGAATAGATAACACAAATTGGGCTAGGTGTTGGTTCATATATATGGTATGTGAAAATCAGTTCGATAAACTACTACCGGTTAGTGACTCACTCGAAACGCTCTCAAAAGCTTTAACCACTAACTTTTTAATTTTTTTATTTAAATAATTAGATACTCTATAATGCTAGTGGGTTTCCCTGTGAGTTAATGATTTACAACATTTTCCTGGTTACATTGCAATATAATAATATGTTTACTTTTGGTAATAATTTAAGTGACATTGATTTAATTAATTTTAATTGCAAGAGTCTTCAATTATTGTTATAGGTTTTTGGCTGGCAATTATTCACTTGAGAAAAACACACTCAATTGTCTTAAATAATTACAAGGTGAAAACAATAACTAAAGATATTCGTTTTTATTGCTAAAATGTATTTTTTTAATGACTCATTGCGGGCATGTTACTAAGCCGTAAAGTTGTGTCGAATTTCATAGAGGTTTTGATAAGTATAGCTACAAATTTACAAAGATACTAAATGCAGTTTATTTTGAGTAGCACATTTTTCAAATAATTTTTACTCTTTTAACCAAGTGAAACTTCTTATTAATACTTTCATTATTGCAAACTTATAGTAAACTATTTTTTCATTATAATCAAGGTTGTTTATTAGCTGCTCTCTTTAACAAATAAATCCCTTTAAACTCCGGTTTTAAACCACAGTGCACACTCCCATTGGGCTCCCCTCTTAACACCCGCCTCGCATTTGTTAAACTCTCGCCTGTCGTTGAACAACCTTGAAAAACCAGCTTCTCTATTTTGTTGATTTTGTCGTAGTATTGGCTGGCTGGCGGCTACTTCCACAACAAACTGAGTTGTTGCAGGGCCTCGGAATAGAGAGATTATGGATGGGCGACTGCGACATCTGCCCAGATCCCGGAATCCCCACCTCGGCCCTCATGGCGGTGGCCACTTGGTTATCTGCAAAGTAGTTTTGCGCTTTGTCTTGTCCATTTGCAGGGCGCCTGGCGGCTATTGGCAGTTTGGGCGTTTGGTTTTGGTCTTATCTGACAGTGAGTGTGTTGTGTGGCTTTATCAAAATCTCACGTAGAGCCGAGATAGAGAGGCGCCCCTATGCAAATCCGTTGATTGCCTTCACTCACGTAGCGTTTAACCAAACGCAAATGATTCGTTTTGGCCCTTGCCAAACAGGGTAAAAAAGGTGAAAAATAACAATCAAAAAAGCAAAGCCGAAAAAGTGGCAAAAGTAAAAATCGATTTTAAATGCAGTGGCGTGCTTAACTTTTACTCTCATTGTGGCAGATTTATCCGAAACAGGTAAAAACTTTCTACTTCTGCGTGTTTTGCCCATACAAAAGGCCACAATTGGTTCCAACACTTCTTGTACTTGTACGCTCTTCTTTTCTCTTTTTTTTTTGTTTTTTTTTGCTGTTAAATGAATTTATTTTTTACGATTTTCATTGTCATCAGTTCGAGCCCGAAAAGGTCAGCGCCTTAAGTGCACAATCCAAACCGAACTCGGTTCTGGCCAACTCTTCTTTTGGCAACTCGTTTCTTGTTCGCGGTTAGGCTGTTGCCATTGTTTGTTACTTTTTTCATTTTTGTGTGTTGCCAACTGCCGGCGTTTTACTCCGTCTATATTTATATATTTGTAGCTTAACAATTTTTATGTCATTTGCGCAATTATATGGCCAAATAGCAACCTCAGTCCGTGGTCGAAACGGTCGAAAAGTAAGCGGTTAGGTGAGGTAACGCTCGTTACTCACAAATGAGTAGGAGTTTCGGTAGATAATTGTCAAACAAAAATATTGCAATTAACTTTGGTTTTTTTGGCCACATAAAAGTGGGTAATATTTTTGTGGAAGCCAAATAATAAAGGTGATTGAGATAGTTAGACTTATTACAATTGTTTGAATTTGATTTTAATTGCTATACATCATTTGATTATAATTGCTATACATCAGCAAAATACTTACAATATTTGCAGTTAAAGGAGTATAGAGTACTATATAAATCAAAAATACATTAATTATACTTCTTACTTGTTAAACAAAAATTACGAGCTAAATTGGTGTTCTTATTTCCGGTATTCTTCCATCTTTTTTGTGTCTTTCACTGACAATTATCATGCGTTTCATTAACTTTCTTGGGACAACAAGAGTTTCTTCCAAAAAAACACGCCTTTAAAGACACAGACAGAGACCAGTCCGGTTGTGTTTTCTTTATCACGCCCTTTGTTTACCCATGTGGCACTAAGTTGAGCAATTTACCATTAACATTATCACGAGCAGCAGGTAAGACAGGAGAAGCATCATTAATATGCGGCATTGTTTGTGGCTTTAAATGGGCTTGGCTAAGAGCGTGGGAGCCGGCTCAACTTGGCCAGAATGACACTCCATCAGAATGCAGTTTGCCAGGCAATTGCTTTAGCCCAAGTTAGTAGCGTCAACTGAAGTGGTCATCGGACTTAATTGAGCCTCAACTCAATTTACAGAATTTACAGAAACCCACAGAAACCCAAATGAACTGAAGAGAAGCTCTTTTTCAAGCTCTTCTTGATTGAGTCAGGTCAAAAGAATTTAAACGGAACGAGCTTCTGCTTCTCTATTTTATTTCTCTACATTTCTCTCTATATTCTCTGATTCTGATTCGGATTCTTCAGTTCTCCAACGGAAGCCTCTGAGCATGCATATATTAGTTGGTCTTTCTCCTGGTCTCGGGGACTCTGAATTGAACGACATTTGCATAAATTGCGTCGCCTCATAGAACGTGTTTAGAGAGCTTGACAAAGGGTATTATAGACTCCAGGAAATCAACTTAAGAAGCAAGGTGGAGGGGAGCCAAACCCCCCAGCAATTAAGAAATAATAGATGAATGAGGCAAAATGTCAATATATCAAGTAGTTGAGAAGGAAGGCAGCGCAAAATGCCACAAAAGCTCCATTTTGTCCGCCACAAAAAGTAGGAAAAGTGGTTGATATCGTTTCTTTAACAAGCTAGAGTTGAATTCTATGAAAATAAATCGATATCATTTGAATTAATAGAATTTTCATGTTAAAAGTATATCAAAGAGTAGAAAAACTTCGCGAAACTCCTCATTTATTGTTCTATAATTAAAGATATTTAATACAAAAATATTTCATAGCTAAACAAATTCGATTTCGCCCTTCCTTCCAGCTGAATAATTTAGATAGAAATCGATATAAATTGATTCGCCTTGAACTGTGAGGGTCATTATCATATAATTGTTGCAGAAAAAGGACACGTGCGCCGTGACAAAGTCCTGATTCACTTTTGACCTGGACACGTGCTTGGAATTCCCCTCGATTATGGAAAGTAATAATAATATGAGGGGGTTGCATCCCCGTGCAGGTTACGTGTATATACCAAGCATTGCGGAGATTAAGCCTAAATGAAAACCAGTTTAATTGCACCACAAAAGCCGCTTGGAGGAGGGTGGTGCACTAAATAAGTTTTGTATTTGTATTTACACCACTCTCGAGACGAAACAAACTGAAACAAAAGTGTTTCGAGGGCAGCTCATGTTATTTATGACTCTATTTCCCTAGTTAAGCCAGGGTGAGTTCACCAGACAACCCCGGAAAAAGTATGTCCTTAATGCATTAGTCATCAAGTTGGGTGAGACGGGAGTGTAAGAGCAATCCAAAATAGGCAGGGCACCCTGTACAGTGTACACTAAGGCGGTGGCAGAATGCCCCAAGAAAGCACTTGAACAACTTTGTTTATGCCAGCAGCCAAAGGAAATCACGTTTGTTTGCGGCAACGGCAGCAGCAATTTCCTCTAAACAAGCACCCAAACAAATA